GACTTTGTTGTCTTCTTCTGGTTGTATGTTTTGATCTTCATTGTTACCAAAGAAAGATTCTATGTTCTGACTTTTTTTGTACTGTTTGCTCATGATCCCAGCCAATTACTTGAGTTTTAAACTCTTTGTTAAAGTAGGGGTCTGCTTCCAGTGTGGAGAATGTATTGTCCCAAGCTTCATGGGTTTTGTGCAGCTGTTTTCAGAGATACTTCTAGGGACCTGTAAATTTTCAGTTCTTCCAAGGTACTATGTTCAAGGGTGAGGTGTTTACTCTTTTCTTGGCCTGGGCTCTGGTCTATGAGGGACCACAAGCACTCTTTTCTGCCTTGGAACTGTGAGGAGGATTCTCTCTGCACTGCCACTACAAGTTCTACCATGCCAGCACTCCTCCTACCCCAGGACCGTCACCCAGGATTGAGACCCACTCAAAGCAAGAGAATCCTGCCTCAGCACTAGCAAAGATCCTTGCAATCCCCCTTTGATCAGTCACTTGATACCCACTCTATTACCCCTGCATTACCTTAACCCATCTTTTAACTGTTTTAACCTCTTTAACTTTTTAACATCTTTAATTCTTTTAATCTCCAATTTATTCTCTGTCTTCTCAACATAGCTATAAGACTAGAAATTGGTCAACCATACCTCAACTGGGGAGAAAATGAAGCTGCGAGATTTGTTTTTGTGTTCATGGTCTAATTCTCTCCTTACGTACTCAAAAAAAAGGCTAAGAAAAAAAAAATCCAGGAAAATGCAGAGCACTCAAATTAATTCTTTGACAAAAACATGAAAAAATAATCTAAATGAAAATCAAGAGATAATTCTCCTTCCACATATTCAAAAGTCAATTATACAAAATTTTTTAAAAAAAATTGAGAAATATTCTGTGGTGTTTTTTTGTTTTGTTTTGTTTTGTTTATTCTCCTTCCTAACTAAATAAATTTTCATGAAGAAAAGGATATTTAAATATTGGAAGCTTCATGGACTTCTGCTGACTCTTCATTCATTGCTATCATAGACAGCAAATGATAATTAAATCCAGGGATAACTATTCTAAACACCAACACCAACACCAACTAGGACCAGCTGTCACCAATAAACAGGTAAACCCAGCAGCTCTGGAACAAGCCATTCCCCATAAGCATCAGGTTTATTTCTTGCCTGCAGCCCCCGCAGCCATCATATCTAGGGGAATAACCCTTGGGGAGTAACTGCTTTGTAGGTGCAGCAACCTTAAAAGTCATAGCTATCGAAGGACCATAAAAGATGTCCAAACCTTGGAACTGTCTTGTGGTTCAATGGATAGGCCTTTATCAATGGAAATGACACTAACGATGATTCATTACTACCTGTGTATGCCTTCCTGATGCACCTCGAAAGGAGTTCTTATCTGCAGCTCAGACTTCCTATAAGTTTTGTCCACCCCCTATTAGAATGAGAGCACCTGGAGAACAGGCATTGTTTTGCTTTTCTATCTATATCTCCAGCTCTTAGCACAGGGTTTAACATAGAGTCACTATTTCATAAATGCTTTTTAAAATTAATTTATTCTCTACAATAAAATTACAAAGTGATTTTTCTTATATCACTGTACAGCGGTCACAGAATTTCAAAGAACAGAAGATGTGGAATTTTTCTATATTAAAAGAAGAGGTGGAAATCGTAAGAGAAACCCTAAGAGATCTCTTTTTGTGAGGAGAAATATTATACTTCATAGCCGATACAGCTCTCAAATGGCTATGTTATTTCATTTGTTTCTCATTATAATCTTGTGATGTAGTTCAAGCATCATTATTCCCATTTTAGTGAAAAGGTAAAAGTGGGAAAAGAGGTGACTTATCCAAGGTCATACAGCACAGTGGTAGCAGAGCTGAACCTCTTACCCAGATTTTTTGTTATTCCAGATCCACACACAAGAGCTTGCTATATATACACAGCTTCCCAGGGATGGGACATGGATTATCATGTAAATCTATGGATTATGTACAGTGCACATCTAAGGATTATGTACAATATAAAATTAAAGATTATGTACACTGCAAACGTGATTTTTTTTTAAAGTTTAGATGGGATGATGAGTTATGTGGCTAAACAGAGAAAATTCTTGGTTTTTCTGAATTGTAAAGTGCAGAAAAAGGAATGAAGTACATTGAGATTTTAAAGGGATATTGGGGCAAGGTTGTAAAGGGCTTCCAAAGCTAAACAGAACTTATTTGAACCTAAGAGCCATAGAAAGGCACTGGAGTTGACCGAGTAGGGGAGTAGCACATCCAGATCTGCAATTTAGGATAATCACTTTGGCTTTTACATGTAGGATGGACTAAAGTAGAAAGAAATTTGAGTCGGAGAGATCACTTAGGAGTCCGTTACAATAATCTAGGCAAGAAGTGATGAAGACCTAAACTAAGGTTGTATCTGTATAAGTAGATAGAAGAACTTCGATATGAGAAATATCATGGATGTGGAAATGGGAATACTTGGCAGTTGACTGGGTAGGTATGGTGAGTGAGCATGAGAAGCTGAAGATAACACCAAAGTTACGAACCAAGAGAACCAGGAAAAAGTGTATTGAAAGCCCAGAGAGGACAGAATGTCAAGGAGGAGAAGGTGATCACTAGTGTCAAATGCAGCAGCTAGGCAGAGAAGGATAAAGACTGAAAAAAAGACAATAATATTTGGCAATTCAAGATCTTTGGATCTTGACTCTGGAGACAGCAGTTTCAGTCAAATAATGATGTTAGAAGCTAGACTACAAAGAGCTGGAGAGGTCAGCCAATGATTTGACCTTTTCCTGTGAAAATATGTTTGTGTTAGCACCTAGCTCCCAGGGTTGTTGTGGGGATAAAATGGGATAGTATTTGTAAAATGCTTTGCGACTTTAAAGTTCTATTCAAATGCTAGCTATTAATAACTATTGGCTGTTATTATTAACAATTATTAATTACAAAGGGAAAAAAGGAATGTAAGCTCTTTGGGGATAAAGTTTAATTTTTTCTTGGCATCCCCAAGGCCTCACACAGGTCCCAACACACAGTAGGCACTTAATAAATGCTTGATGATTGATTTTGGGAAAAAAATACAAAATGTGTGCAAAGAAGAATGGTACATAGTTTTTAAAAGCCTAATTAAAATCTTAATTTAAAAAATTTTAGGATGTTCTTGGCCCTAATAAAGTAGCTATCTTGCAAATAAAGAATTTTTGTGCCCATCTTTGGTTTACTTCTCATACCTTCTCCATTAGTTTCTAAAGAAGGTCCTTGAACTATGTGAAACAGTTCTGGGAATGCTGCTTTGTGGGGCTAGACATCGCTCTGAAAGCTGAGGGTTCTTTGCTCCATTCCTAGCAACACTTCTAACTCAAGGCAACTTTACTATGTTTGTGCCTTTTTCTCTTAAATACAAATTGGGAATAACACTACTTAACACATACTTAACTTTAATCCTTTGATTACCACATACAATTAAGAAGTATTTTGTTCAAACACTAAGTCTTATCATTCAAAAAAATTACATAAGTGATTAAAAGAAAAATTACTCGGAATCACAAAGCTGTTTTAAAAAAAAGTAATTTTAATGCTTAGGATGTAAGGTAAGGCAATGGAAGGTAAGGACAATGTCTATTCACTTAATTAGATGAAATCATCTAATAGGAAATTAACCATACATTATACTGCAAGTAGGAAGCTCTGACAGAAGTTGCTTGCATGCTAAATAATCTGAAAGACTGACTGAGGTCTCCACTTCATTTTGTATGTCTGGGCATTGTTATATCGATCTTAAAATTATCTACAGAATAAGGAGATATGGTTATGCAGAATTTTTAATTTAGCTGAAGCCCTTTCCTTAACAGTTTCTTAGATGTGTTTCCTACCACTGGCCAGTAGTAGATTTTTATGCATATATAAAGTTTTTTTTTCTTTCTCCCATTTACTACCAAAGGTTCTTATCTCTTCTTGTTGTTCAGTTTATCAGTCATGTCTCACTTGTCATGACCCCCTTATGGGGTTTTCTTGGCAAAGATACCGGTTTGCCATTTCCTTCTCCAGAGGATTAAGGAAATTAAAGGTTAAATGGCTTGACCGGAGCCACCCACAGCTAGTAAGTGTCTGAGGCTGGATTTGAACTCAGGTCTTCCTGACTCCAGGCCCAGCACTCTATCCACTGAGACATGTAACTGCCTCTTACAACCTATTAATTTAAAATACTGAATATTTTTGCCATTCCTTCTTCTGAATCCTAATTCCTCTATTCCTGCATTCTTCCTTCTCCCCAGCACTTGGTCCCTACTACCTGATATAAATAACAGAATTCTAACCAGGAATTCTGGTGCCTGGGCAAAATTTAGTTGTGGTGGAAGCACCTGGGGGACCATTTTCTAGACAGCTTGTCCTAAAACTGCTCAGGAGATATGCTAATATGTTCTCCAGACAAAATACAGTATCCCTCCACATACCTATTAATGGAACTGCCTGGAGTGCTAAAGTGCCTCCTCCCCATGAATATAAAGCAGTCCTGGAAATCAAAAACTCATCTACTATTCATCTTTAGGATGCTTGGGAGTAGTGATGCCCCTCTGCCTAGGGCCACATCAGATCTTCGTCTGAAGAAATGACATTTTTTCATCAGACCCTGTCCTTGTCTACTCCTTATTGTTGATACAAATTGTCAGTAATCTGGAGCATCCTTGCTCGGCCACTAAAGGCTGGCTGTGAAGAGGAAATGTGTCTCCCTTCCACATAGGAAAAACCCTACTTACCTTCTCCTAGATATGGCTCTGCTCATGAGAGCTATCTGACTCAAAATGCTGGGAGCCATATGGTCTGTAATAGGGAATATAGATGCTTTATCTGATAAGTAGTATAGTTTGGGTTCAGAAATCTTGTTCTAGAAGGCATATGGAGGTCTTTTCATTCCTATGGCAATCACTTTATTAGTAAATCAATTTGAACAATAATTAGATAGGCTCCTACATAGTGGCTTAAAGGTGTTGTTTGTCCTCTTACCTTAGTGCTGCATACTGCTATGTTAGCAGGAAGCTGGGAAAATTGTTTCAATTCAAACACATCACGTGTAGCCCATCGGCTCATATGATTTTCTGCTTTGCTTGAGCCAATCACATTCTGGTTGGAATGGATATAGGCAACTTCTTGAACACCATCTGAGAAATGATAAAAGATGCCCATTAGATGAATTTGATCATTACCAAAAAAAAAATTCAATTCAATAAATCAACATTTTATCACTTACTGTGTATAAGAGAAACCTGGGTTTAAGTCCTGCTTCTGACACATACTGACTCTGTGACTCTGTGAGCTCACTCTCTAAGACAGAAGAAGGTGCTGACCTGCATTGGTAGAAGGAGCTACTTTACCCAGGAGATCCCTATGATAATGAAATCCCAGATCCAGTCCCAATCCCTATTCTAAGTGGAAGGGACTATACTAGGTACTGGGGTTACAAAATAATTAAATAGGATATACTCTCCTGCCCACAAAGACCTTATAATCTATTAAGAGAATTAGATACATATAACAATTAGTATGACACATGGTTGAACAGAAGGGCAAAGGAGAAGACTAGATGAAGTTTTATGAGAAATTTGTGAAGACAGAAATTTTTGCTCCAGGGTAGGGGGAGTGGAGAAAGGGAGATGAATCAGAAGAGCTTTACTGAGGAGGCAGTATCTAAATGAGTCTTGAAGAAAAGGAATTTCAATAAGACAATATGTAGGAAAATGCATTTTACGCATAGGTGATAGGATAGCCCATAAAATAAATGGAGAAGACAACTATCTTATGTGTACTTAAAAAAAAAACAACCTAAAAACTAATGTTGCATTAATAAATCTGTTATTATTTTATTGTTGAATCTAATGAAACAATCAGGCCATTACTTGAAATAAATCATAATTCTAGTGCTTAGTAGATATTTAAAATTTTTCCTTTTTTCTTGAAAACATTTTAAATTATTTATATTTAACCTTTCCCTTCCATCATGGTCAAAGAGACCTGTTTCCAGCAATTCAATTTTGTTGAGATTCCTAACCTTTATAACTGAGGCATATTTTGGCCAACAGAGGATTCATTATAGAAGGAATGTACTTCTTTTAAAGAAAAGTGTTGGACTCATTTGTTTAGCATGTTCTTGACACAGTGACAACAGAATCATGGGGTTTATGGTTAATCGAATTTTGTCTGACTGATTTTATTCAACTTTATTATTTGTATTTTATCTTTTTTTGTACCCATGTCCAGAAGATGTCAAGTTTGGTAACATTTTAGGAAATGAAAAAAAATCTGAAGGAAGTTTAAATATGGCTAAACTCTTTATTGTTTTGCTTGCAGACACCTGTAATTTATTTTTAAATTATGGACATAAATGATAGGGAGAGAGCCAGAATCTATGAAAGCTCCCTCCAACAGCTGACAATGAACTCACTAAACTGACCTGAAATCCCGTACTATTTCAGTTTTAGGCTTCTCAAACAGAACCTGCCAATCATATAAAACTATAAAGTATTTTAGTGGAATGGATAAAACTGTAACTACTATTCCCCTTACTTTCAAATCACCATGTTATAAAGTTTGGCCACAAAACACCCATGGAATTCTCAAAATGTATTTTCTGGTATAAAAACTTCACCAATTTTAACATCCAGCTTTTTGTGATATGAAAGAAGAAAAAAAATGTAATTTTAAAGAAAAAGGTACATCTTTCCAATTAGAGAAAACTTTAAATCATTATGTAACAGCATTGCAGCAGGCATAGTCTATTCAGCAGCCTGGTTCTAAAAATGTGAACAATTTTGTTAAGTATTCATGATACTTTTTAATTTTTGTTCCCGATTTGTAATTCCAATAGTATAGGGAACTCCAGGTATGGAAATTCTTTCTGCCAGCACAGATCAATAACCTCTCAGTACTTACAGGCTTGGAGAGTTGCCTGGTTCACTAAGAGGCTAAGTGATTTGACCCACTGTCATAGAGTCATTCTATCTAGCAGGTCATGATGCCCTTCACATGACAACTAAAATGGCTTAAATTAGTGATATGTCTCAAAAAAAAAAGTTTTCCCCCAAAGCTCTTCTTGGATAATGCAGCAGGCCCTTATCATATTATGCCTGGGTTACTGCAACAGCTTTTTGGTTGGCTTCCTTGCCTCCAATCTTTCTCCATTCTCAATCATCCTCCACCTCACTACCTTAATGACCTTCCTAAAGTTAAGGTCTGACCTTATCACCAGCCTCGCCCATTCCAGCAGCCCCCCTCACCTCCAGAATCAGACAGAAAACTTTGTTTGGCTTTTAAAGTCCTTCACAACCTTTGTAGTTTTCTTACATTTTACGTCCTTCCATGAACTGTGATCCAGTGACACTGGCCTGTTTGCTCTTCCCATAACGCAAAATACTTTATCTCCTGACTGACCATTTTCACTGGCTATACCACCCCCTCACCCCCAAATCCCTGGAATTCTCTCCCTCCTCATGTTCTCTCCCTGGACTCCCTGGTTTTATTCCCTGGCTAAAAAAATCTTTCCTGATCATCCTCAACACTAGTGCCTTCCCTATGCTGATTATCTCCGATTTATTCTCTGTATATTTTGCTTATACATAGCTGCCTGCATGCTGTCTCCTCCATTAGAATGTAAGCTCACTGAGAACATGGACTATCTTTTGCCTTTCTTTCTATCATCGGCACTTACCACAATGCCTGGCACATGTAGGTACCTAAGCAATGCTTGGTGACTAACATAAAACTCTAAGTATATTTCTCTAGGTACTAAGGAAAAAATTCATGCATTTTCAAAAAAGCTATATTGAAAGTGAAAATCAAACAACAACTAGTTGGAACTAGTTGAACAGCTGAACTCAAAAAGCAGTTCAATGTCAATTTGGAAGTTACTGCAGAGCAACCTAGGGATCCATTTGCCATTTTGGTCAGTGATTTGGGTAAAGGACACAGCACGCTTATCAAATCTGCAAATGAACTACTGCTATGAGATATGAGTAAAAAAGATCCTAACAGATTAAGATGTTGGACCAATACAGCAAAAAAAAAAGTAATAATAAGACTAATGGAAAGTTCTCTAGTTTAAGCTCAAAAAATTAACTTCACAAGGACAAAATGAGGAAAGCATAGATAGATATCAATTTGTCTATTAACAGTTTGATGTGTCAGCTAAAAACAAACAAAAAATGAGACCTTAGATTCCATTAAGAAAGACTTAGGATTCAGGACTGCAGAGATGCAAGTACTGTGGTACTCTGCCCTAAGCATCTGCAGTATGGTTTGAAGCACCAACTTTTAAGAGGTTATAAACTGTAGAGCATTCAGAGGAGTGTGACTGGGATGGTGAGGGAATCTCAAATGGGAAGCCACATGGTACAATGGAAAGACACTGACTCTGAAGTCAGAAGACTTGGGCTTAATTCTTGCCTCTGTATTCTTAGTATCTGTATTATCTTGGGGAAATGACAACTCTCCCTGGACCTCAGTTTCCTCATATGCAATATAAGGGAGCTGGACTAGATGGCCTTTGAGTGTTCTTCAAGCTCTACTTCTGTGATCCTGTGACATTACACCATACAAAGATTAGTTGAAGGCACTATGGATGTTCAGACTGGAGAAGAAAAGACTCAGGGGGCCATGAAGCTGTTTTCAAGTACCTGCAGGACTATCATGTGAAATATTAGACTACTTGTAAGAGTCAGGAAAAATTTCCTAACAATGAGAGCTGTCCAAAGAGTGGAATGGGTTTCCCCAGTAGGTAGAAAAGTACCCTCTAACTAGAAGCCTTCAAGTAAAAGCTGGATAACCACTTGCTGAGTATGCTGTAGAAGTCATTTTTGTTCACATATGGATTGAAATAGATAGCAACTTCCAATTCTGAGATCCTGTCATCTGCATGGAAATAAAAATTGAAGCCATACAAATTGTATAAGGTGCTAGGTGAGAATTTCTAATAGTGCAAACAAACATTTTAATAAAAATCTTCAGAGTAAATTTATAGTCACCTAAAAAGTTATCCATGGATTCGCCTTTCTGTTCTTGAACAACCTCATTTGAAAATATTTTGAGCTCCCTTTGTGGAAAATCGGCATTTTTCTTATTATAGCCAGTAGATTCTGCTGAAAAAGAAAGCCTGCATTTCTTACTTTTTTGCCTACGACTTTGTTTGGAGAAAGTGATTTTACTGGCTGCTGAATCATCATCTGAAGATGAAAAATCATTTATATTCTGAGAGTCACCTTCTAAATCTGCTGAATATAGCTGGCTTGTTTCCAGCTTGTCATGAAGCCTCATTTTGCTTCCTTTTTTGGGTTTAAACTTAACAGAACTAATTGTTCTCTTTCTTATCCTTGATTCTGAGGATATTTCAATATCATCTGATTCATCACTAATATCACTTACACTTTTCCTTTCCCTTATAGATTTTTGGACAATATTCTGTGGATGGTTTATATTTTTATAAGTTGAATAATTTACAATGAAATCAGATTTCTTGGAACCTGACCAATGGTCAACACTGGTGGTCATTTTAAAGGGGTTTTCTGTTTTGGAATTTTCAGAAAGATCAAAGACTTGTTCATCATTCTTACGACAATGGAATCTTTCAGTTGTAAATTGTGTTGGAAAGATGACATCACTAGCATCTGAACTATCTTCTGCCTCTGTGGTCTTAGGTGAAGCACAGGGCTGTTCATGTTTATTTTTTAAGTCCCTTTCACTCTCAGAATCAGAAGACACATTGCATTTTAGAGTCTCTGTCCTCCTTTGACATTTAAATTTTTCTTTTTGTTTCAGGTTGCTGGTTACTTTTTGATTCAACAAAGTATTGCCAGAGCTCTGACTCTTCTGACAGCCATTAACCCTATTATCTTCTGCTAGATGGTGCAAAGATTGATCATCAGAGTTTTCATCATTAGAATCAACATTTTCATCACTATGATCAAATAAATCACTTTTTTCCTCAAAAAACTTAGAGAAACCACACTGAAGTAAAGTAAGCTGTCCTGGAGAAACTGTAGTGTTATTTTTATCAGAAATTTTGTTTTTAGTAGTTTTTGTCCTTGAGCTTCCCATGGATTCCTCATCACTGAAGTCACAGCAGAGATCAAATACTTCTTTTTCCACTACTTCCTCAGACTGTCCTTGTTTTTTATGTTCTTGACATTCAGGATCTGCAGTCTAAATTGTAAAAGAAAAAAAGAAGAAAGAAAAATGGGAACATCCAAGGACAAAACATTCCAATTCATCATCATTATCAATGGCCATTTCCTCTTGAGAATCAATAAGAACACCAGCACAACATCTGCTCTTACTCACACGGTGTTTTAAGGTTTACAAATTTTTATTTTACTAAAGGAAACACCTGTTAAATAACAGTAACAGTGGAACTTAAAGCTTATTTACAAATAAGTTATTCCCAATTTTGTTAATATAACATGGAAATATTTAAAAGTATCTGTGATCTTACTCATACAGGTATTCCCTCTAGTGATTCATATCAATATCTATCCATGACAACCAATCCTTGGCAACTCTTGTCCACAGACTCTCACAAATTCACCCAATATGCTGGGAAGCCTTACAGTTTCTCTTGACATTGGGTATGATGTAACAGGAGGCAGGTGGTACAGTGGAAAGAATGCTGGATTTGGGGTCAAAGGACCTGAGTTTGAATCCTAGCTCTGCTATTTATTACCTGTATGATCAATGACAAGTTACTTAATCTATGTTTCAGTTTGCTCAACTGCAAATGAGGAGGTTTTACAGTCTCCTAGATCCCATCTATCTTTAGATCTGACACTATGATCCTTCTGTTAGACTTATGTTGGTGCTAAAATGTATAACCTTTTCATATGACTCAACAGATGGAAAAGCCTACTAAAATCTAAGTTAAATGCAAGTAGGTATAATACATATGAATGTTGGTAAAAAACTTTCATTCACCTAACAAATCAAGATTTTAGAAAATGAAATTTAAAAAAGAGTGAAATGAGCAGAACCAGGAGAACATTGTACACAGTAATAGCCACACTATGTGATGACTGACTTTGATAGACTTAGCTTTCGTCAGCAATGCAAGGATATAAGACAACTCCAAAAGACTCACCATGGAAAATGCTATCCACATCCAGAAAAAGAACCATGGGGTCTGAATGCAGGTGGAAGCACACTATTTGCTCTCCTTTTCTTTTGTTGTTTTGTTTTATTTCTTCTTTCTCATGATTCCTCCCATTAGTTCTAATTCTTCTATATATCATGACTAATGTGAAAATACGCTTAATATGAATGTGTAAGTAAAGCCTCTATCAGATTACATGCTGTCTTGGGGAAGGGGGAGGAGAGGAAGGGGGAGAAAACTTAAGACTCAAAATCTTCGGGAAGTGAATGTTGAAAACTAAAAATAAATAAATCATTAAAAAAATAAAAAGGCATTATTTCAGCCTAGTCTTTTAGCTTTTTGGATGAAACAGCACTTAAATTAAGGCACACTTAATTATTCGTATGGAAAATCCAAAGCAGAGAGGCCAATCCTTCAGGATATGGAAGTCAAAGTTCTCAATCTAAAGAGCTGGAAATAAATAACCTGCTGTTACAGAATTAAATTCTGGGGTTAACACAGTTTGGAAGAAATTTCCAGGCAAGCTTTCAAGCATCTAATACTCAAAAATTACAACAGTTCACAAGCCAAAATAATCAAAACACAAATAATGACAGAAAATTGGTTAAAAATAAGGGTAAGATCCATAGACTCCTCTTGGCCACCATTAGTAAATGCAATATAAAGATATTAGGAAGTAAGTTCTGCAACAAATTTAAATCCAAAATTTTATCATGTCATTGGTAAAGCATTCAGTCAGTAGTAAAGCATTCCTTACTGAAGGCTGAAACAGAATTAAAAATATTTTCCATACCAGAAAACTCTCAAGAGTTTAGTATTTATACAGAATCATGGGCAGAGAATCAGAAAGGATGTAAAAGTCCAATTTCCTCATTTTAGAGTTAAGGAAATTGAGGACAAGGGAGACTAAGAAACTTGTTAAAAGTAACACAGGTTCTCAGTGTCAGAAGTAGGATTTGAACCCAGGTCCTGTGATTCTAGCGTTCTTTCCACTACACCATGTTGTTATTGTTATTACCTAATTATGCTTCTATCACAAGATGATGGCAGTATACAGTATCCACCCCAAATATCAGATCCATTCATAAACATCAATTTACTATGAATTACAAATGCTTTTTTAGATGGTACTTGGAAACATTATGCATTTTAATTTCATTTAAACTTTAAGGACAAATTATCACTGCTACATGAATGTCCTAATATTGGGGATGATAATTTTCTACCAAAGCATTGTCACTGGATCAGAATAATTACTATTATATTTGAGACTCAAAGCAAAAAAAAATGGTTTGGTTCAGAGACAGTATTGATTTGATTTCATTTTTAGAAAATATATGTTGGCTTCCAGTTTGAACTGATTCACTTGATTTTTTTTTTTAATTTTACATCTCATATTTCAGTAAAAAAGTATCTTCAGGTTTGGTAGTGATTCAAATAAGCACAGTTCAAAATTTAATTTGAGGTCCATCTGATTCAAAGTCCTGCTATAAATGCACTTAGCTCAAAGCTTTTCTAATATTTGCTGAAAATTCAAGAATGGAAAGTTGGTGTTAATGACAGTCTTAACTAAAGTTTTTGCGACAATATTTCTTTGATTTTTTCTGGAATGAACCTCAAACAGTATTTTTATTTTCTCACAAATATGAAAGATTTTTCTTGGCACACACAAACATAAAAGAAAGGAGGAAGGAAAAATCTCCAGCCATATACGTTTATGTACTCTGGGGCACAAACCCAAAGAATACTCACCATTTCTAATTTGTGTGCTGGAGGTCCTTCTTTCAACCATGTAGTGGCTGTCATGACCCCTGCTTCTACTTGGCCTTCCCTCTACAACAGCAACAAAAGAGAATGCAAATCACTTAGAGAAAGCTATGCAAACTATGCAATAAAAACAACCAGATCAACAAGAGAACTGGTTTGCTAATTCTCAGACTTAAGACAGAGAAACTCAGTGAGTCTGGCTTTTCTCTCAACATTCTTCTTCAGTTTGCAAATTACACTGCAAACATATAGTGTTTTTAGACACTTTTAACTTTGTTATTTTAAAACTTTTATTTTTCAGGCTTAGTAAAACAGGCATAGTTTTCATCTAACACTAAAAGCATTATGGAACTATCCAAGTGAAACATATTAATGTACAGCCATGTATAATGAACAGTTACACATAATTTAAAAGGTAATATAATTTAATGCCTGTATACATGACAATTACTATCCCTACAAGAATCTAAATAATTATAAACAATACTTGAACAGAAGTCTCGGGAAACTGATCAGCTAACCTGCAATTCTAATTATTGCTAAAAGGTCCACAGGGCAGTTGGGCACCTTGTGGAAGAGGCAGGACGCAGCATGTGCCAGGCAATTTGAACCACTGTCATCACCACCTCCTTTCAGACCCTGACAAAGATAGTTCAGGACCCTGAACCCAAGAGCATTGGGAATAGCAAGGCTTACAGTCCAGTATCCACAGCCACCACTCTTTCAGCCTAGTAACTACTTTTGCAGGTGCTAGAGCCACATCTACTGAAGAAAAGAAAATTCTTATCACCAAATTTCTTGTCACTGTCACATGACTTAACATAAGAAACTGATATGATTTTATCAGCGGCAATGACATCAAAAAATAAGTATTACCATCTGCTTTGCCACTACACCAAAGGACCAAGGGAACTTTCCATCTGACTTGCAGTTGAAACATTCCATGTGATTTACATCCCCCATCAGAATGTGAGCTCCTTCAGTGCAGGCACTATCTTAATTCATATCCACAATGCTTTGTACTTAGTCAGTGCTTAGTAAATGCTTCATTCCTTCATTCACTTTAGGATTTAGGATGACAGAATCAAGGGAAACAGAACTGGAAAAGGCCACAGTGCAGGGGTTTATTTATTTAGTTTTTGCATTATGGACTACTTTGACAGTCTGGTGAAGCGTACTGACCCCTCCAGAATTAAGTTTTTAAATTCATAAAATAAAATGAACAGGATTGCAAAGGAAAATAATTATACCAAACTACATTTATCGAAATTTTTTAAAGACAATTCACAGATGTCAGATTAAGAATCCCTATTATAGAAACCAACTAATCTGAACGGTGCAAGGGAATGAGCTCTGGTTTTGAAACCAGAGATCTGGGTTCAAATCCCAGTTCTGCCACTTATTATCTGCAAGTCTTGGGTAAGCAGCTTAACCTCTCTGGGACTCAGTTTCTTCCTCTGTAAAAGAAGGGTGTCAGACTAGATGACCTCTAAGATAGTGTCTAGCTATAAACTGATAACTTTATAATCTTTTGGTCCTAATTCAAACCCCTCAACTTACATATGAAAGTGAAACTCAGAGAGTTTAAGTGACTTGTGTAAGGTCACACTGCTAATTAGCAGCAGAGGCAGGATTCAAAACCAAGTATTTGGTCTAAACATGACTATAAATAATAATTCTCCAGAGGTTGTGATCTATTGGCATGGTCTTTAAGACTCTAGAGTGCAACATAATGCCATTATGTGGCATAGGAATAGGATTTTGAGGTGGAGTTGTTTATGTTACTGCTGGTGATGATTTATTTGGTGGATTCCTTGTTTCTGTGTCTCATAGTATGATCAGAAAAGGAGGTGAACTGGTCATGTAATAAGAGCAAGGGATAAAGTTTGAGGGCTGCACTGGTATACTGATAATGCCAGAGGAAAAGTCTCTAGTAAACTGGATAGATCCCCTATGGAAGATTTATGGGAGAATATGAACATTAATCACACAGGATGAGGAATTACAGATGAGTTGCAAACTCTACTGATGGAGCAAGTATCCACACTGATAAAAATTATGGATAGTATGAAGGACTAGACAATATAGAATTAGGCAGAAAATGACTGAAAATAAATTACTTTAATTAGAACCACTGCATCAAAATAACCTCAGTGTTACTACATAAAAGTGAAGTCAATAGATCAATCAATCACTAGCATTTATTAAAGTGCCAACTATATGTGAGGCACCATGCTTGGTGCTGGAGACACAGAATAAGGAGCAAAAATAATACCTGCTTGTCAGAGTTTATGCTGTAATGGGGGAGAGAAGTACACATGTAAACATAAACAAAATAAATATAACGTGGACAAACAAAAACATATTTAAAGTAGGGCAACAGACGCTGGGGGATTAGGAAAGGCTTCATGAAGAAGATGATACTTGAGCTACATTTTAAGGGAAGAGAAGAACTCTATAAGGCAAAGGGCATGGAGGATTACCTGCCAGGCATGTGGGACAGTCATTGTAAACACACTGAGATGGAAGATGGAATGTTGTGGGTATGGAATGGATAGAAGGCCCATGTGGCTGGATTACAGATTGTGGGAAGTGAAGTGATGTATAATAAGGGCAGAAAGACAAGTTAGGACCAGTTGTAAAGGGTTTTAAAAATCTAACAGAAGAGATTATATTTGATACTAGAAGCAATAGGAAGCCACTAGAGTTGATAATGATTTGATATATTTAGATAGATAGATGGATGGATAAATAGATGGATAGATAGACTGACAGACAGACATATCTTTACATCTATAACTGTGAGTCACCTGAAAAGAAATGTTAGTTAAACCCAAGGGAACAGATGAAGTTACCGAGAAAGAAAATGTAGAGGGCAAAACAGACAACATTTAGGGATACCCGCAGTTAAGAGGTATGATATGGATGATGAAATACCACAGAAAAATCAATCCCACAAGTAGGAGGAAAACCAGGAGAAATTAGACAAAAGAGTATGAAGGAGAGAAGGTGATCAACAATGCCCAATGTAGCAGATAGGTGGAGAAGGATGAGGACTGAGAGAAAACTTCAGATTTGGCAATTAATAGACCATTGGTAATTTTGGAAAGTGATTCCAATTGAGTTATGAGGGTGGGAAACAGACTGCAAAGGGTTGAGAAGTGAGTGGGAGGAAAGGAAGTGAATACAACCTCTGAATTTCTGAACTAAGTCAATTTCTCAGAAAAATAATTACTTGCCATTCAGGTTCCTAATTTATCAAATCTATTTCCTTTGCCTTTTTAGAGGACAGGAAGTGGAGATAGTGAGTACATAAACCTTTTCCAGGAATTTGGAAGAGAAAAGGGAAAGAGATATAGAATAATTGCCCGAGGGGTTGGGAGAGTCTAGTAATTTTTTTAAATTTAAAGAATAGGGGAGATAGGCATGTCTGAGGGAAAGAATCCATAGATTAGGAAAAGCTGAAGGTCTGAGAGACTTGGGTAGAGGAGGGGGAAGATTACTGATGTGATCTGCTAGAGAATGCTGGAGGGGACAAGACCAAGTGTATGCGTAGATGGGCTGAAGAAAGGCTTCCTCTATCTCAGGAGGAAAGGCGGGGAGAATGGGAAATGATGTCACAGAGTTTTGAGATGAAGAGGACACAAGAGGGAGTCATATTGAATGACTGCAATTCTCAATAAAGTACGAGGCAAGGACCTCAACTGCAAGAAGTGGGGAGAAGGTGTCAGAGAACTCAATGAAGAGGAAAGCAAAGGTTTGTAATAACTTCTGTAGGAAGTGAGGCAACAAATCAGAGAGGAATAAAAGGACTGTGTTGCTGCAGTGAAGATTCAATAGAAGTTGGATAACATGATTTTGTAATGCATGCATTGCAAGTTCTGGCTTCCTCTGGCTTCATTCAGTAGCTCATGGGTAAAATCAGAGAAGGTAGATGGTGAGAGTAATCTAGGGCTGAGATCTGAGAAGAGATTAAGTAGTGATCAGACAAGGGGGCAAGGGATTCAAGGAAGTCAAAATGGGTAATTATTAGTTTGAGACTGGAAAAAAAGTACTCAGAGCAGGGGTAATAGCTTTGAGAATCTAGTGAAGGGTGAAGGGACTGACAGTCTCATTGAGGAGGATGAATAAGTTTAGGAAGAGTGAAGTGTAAGGAGAGGTGGAATGACAAAAAGGTTATGATCTGATAGGGGAATATCAGATTTTCTAGTTAAGGAAATAGAAAACTTATAGGTAATAGTAAAGAACTAATGTGTAACCATCTCTATGTATGTCTTACATAAACTGATGGAGTAGGTCATAGAAGCAGAGGAATTGAGAAGTTCAGGAGTTTGAGAGAACATCGTAGTAAATAATGAATTACCCTAGTATAAAGACAGGAGAGGAAGATGGTGAGCCAGGTGCTGAACTCTCTGTGAAAAGAGGGAGAATGACTTGGGGGTCAGTATACTACAGCCACCATAATTTAGACTGGGTGTAAAATTTTTATTGAGTGGACCTCAAAGGAGCAAAGGTTGCTGAGAGATAGAAATACAATAAAAGCATAATATATTAAAACAGTCTTAGAATAAACAAAATGATTAAAAAATATTGCCCCAGTCCTCCCTGATCACTCTGGTCCTACATACTTTCTATACCATTTGGAGTATGATGCTCATTATTGTGATTTACCATTAGGTACATGTCCTATCTCTCCAATTAGACTACAGGTTTCATGGCTGCAAAAACTTTTAAATTGTTAGTACCCAGCATAGTGCCCAATAAAAAGTAGGCAAAAATAAATATTTTGACCAATTATGATGATGAATTATATGAAGGATTTGCCAACCACTAGTTGTATAACTTTGGGTAAGGCTACCTTTCTGGGTCTTAGCTGCCTCATTTGTAAAGAAAGGGGATTTAGAACAAGGATGTAACCAACTAACTATAAACATTCTATGACTCTGAAGTATTTTGTCCTTTCCAACATCTATTATAGAATACTTAAGTCAAAGAACTTAAATTTCTTGTGTAATGAAAAATTTTAAGACTTTTTTGGAAAGCTACAAAAATGTTCCATTTAAAGAACAAGAAACATCTGTATGCTGAAGATGAACATAACTGGAAGAGTCTGAAAACTGGTGTGGAATTTTTATTGGGAACAGCAAACAAAAATCTCCATGACACATGAGACAGCATCTCAGGGAATACTTGGTGACTTTTAATCAAAACACATTTTATATTTTTGTTTATTTGTGGAAGACATTTTTTCCCCTGAAATTTCAGCAGCTATTTACAAAATAATACACCTCCCTTTGTCCGTGTGGAAATGGCTTTGAGGGGGAAAGGAGTCACATGTTCAGGCCTGTGTGTGGACAGGGGTAGGGGAGCTTTACGAATGTTTATGAAAAAAGCTGTTTTAAAGGCACAAAGCTTCATTTTCAAAAGTCTGATTGCAGCTCTCTAAAAATGTAAATTCTAAGAGTCTTGTGATATATTTTGCAAAAAAAATTGCAATTTCCTCAAGATCTAGAAAGACATATTCATTTATATTTCATAGTGCACAAATGGGGGGGAAAAACAAAGTAGCTTAAAACCTCAATGAAAAGGCCAAAAGAAATTTCACACCTCCAGGATATCCCTTGTAAGACAGGACCCTTGAGATCTTAGTTTGAAGAGGTTGTGGATCCCAAAAAGCTCTCCTTGATGTTCTTTTGATCCTTGAACTGCTTCAAAATACCGCTTGGCATTTTCACTCCCAACCACCACACAGTGCAGTTGCTAAAACAGAAAAATACATGATATTTCAGAAGTGTCTGATCCAACAACATGTCAGAATTTCCTGGCATTATCAGTATATACACAGTTTTAGGTGGAGTAGACAGAAACTCCTTAGGGAGGAAATTTTGTTTTAATTTCCCTGGAAGATGTTGCCATTGTGGGGAAATAATCATCTGATTAGTTTTATTGAAGACCAAATTAAAAATAGCTTTATACTTTTTATCTGTTTTCCACCTACTACCTACAAAATTGAGTCAATATTTTCCCTCATTTTTTTTACATGAGAAGAACAAATTTCTAGGCATTTTTATCCTGTTAAGCAGTTCTAGAGAAATGCTATAATAGGTACTACTAAAACTTGACAGAATTAGTTCATCTATCACCAAATTATAAGTTTGAATTGATGGCAAGATGACTACAACAGAAAATAATAATGATCATGACGGTACTGGGAACTAAAAGCAATGCTCCATTTCTCTCTTGGAAACATAGTATATTTGAAACAAGGATAGCTTTTTAATTTCAATATTGTTAAGTTGTTTTTTAGTTGTGTCAGACTCTTCATGATTCCTTTTAGGGTTTTCTTGGCTAAGATACTAGAGTGGTTTGCCTTTCCTTCTCCAGCTCATTTTACAGATGAGAAAACTGAGGCAAAGTGTGTTAAATGACTTTCCCAGGGGCACACATCTAGTAAGTATCTAAGGCCAGATTTCAATTCAGGAAGATCAGTCTTCCTGACTCCAAGCCCAGAGCTCTATCCACTGCACCACTTAGCTTCCTCTAACTTCAATACAGTTCCTTGGAAAACCAAGGAACTTCTTCTTCACATGGAAGAGGACCATATTAATAACCAGTCAGGGAATTTACTGAGCATCTCTTATTAGAGATGTGAACTAAATGTTACGTGAACAGGTATAACAGACAAAACTAACCAAAGCACACTGGAGTCTTTTTGATACTAAGAATCTCCCAGATTTCAGGTCTCTTTTAATGTCCTTTAGCATGGTTGTGAAAATAAACAGTAAAATGGTTTTATTTTATTGGTCATAAGGAATTGGTAGAAGATGCCAGTATTAACATAATCAATCACACCATATGAAAAAAGACTTAGTCTCAATAAGTTGCTTTGGAAAGCCAAGCTTATTCCTTGTCAGTTCAATCATTAAATTCTTTGAGGTATGCCACAAAATCTAGAAACTACAAGTGTGTACTCTAGAAATACTAAAGTACTCTCTGCTTTTTTACTCCATCTGTTGTTATCAGTAGCTTCATTAGACATTTCTACTCTCCTATTCCAGACCAAAAAGTACCTGAATACAAGAATGAAATCTTGTGCCCAAAACAAGTCCTGTATTTTCAAGGGCAAAATTCCACCAGCAAAGTTCAATTATAAAATTTATATTGTGGCATTTTTTGACTAAATTTTCCAAACTGAAAACCAGGCTGAGAATAAGTAATACAATCATATTAGAAACCAAATGGACAAGAAAAGTAAAATAGTAATTGGAAAGGCAGTAATTTTGGGGTATATAATTTGTTCATAATAGCAAGGATAAAAAAAAATAGTAAACATTAGTATAAACATTAGAAACATGAATTATTCTTTAGTATTACACCCATTGATCTCCTCTAAACATCTTAATAATTAACTTATTTTTTTTTCCACTTTTTGGTGAGGCAATTGGGGTTAAGTGATTTGCCCAGAGTCACACAGCTAGTAAGAGTTATGCGTCTGAGGCCACATTTGAACTCAGGTCCTCCTGACTCCAAGGCTGGTGCTCCATCCACTGGACCACCCAGCTGCCCCATTAATAATTAACTTATTTAAGAAGTGATATGGGAATACTGTAGACACTGAAGTCAGAGGCAGCCTAAAAAGCATATTTCACCTTACCATTCCCTCAAAGCAACAAACTCCAAATGCAGAAAAAGAAAAAAAAATCCCCACAAAAACCAGTGATGGAAGAAGAATATTTAAAGAAGATAACACCAGGTAGTTCTTGCATGAAATAATAAAAGAAAAAGAATAACAACCCAAAACTGAAGACCAGTTCAATGGCTAAAAAGGAAATGACTGAAAATATGAAGTGATCCCACAAAGGGAGTAAGACAGGGGAGATCAGAATCTGTAAGATGGAATTGTGCACGTTGCTACTAATTTCCACTAGGAGGGAGGCAATGGTCTGAGACTCCAGAGAGAATTTTGTAGAAAGCCGATGGTTCAAAGAGGGACTGGCATGATATCAAAAGGGCCAGGTTATGCGGGGAAAAAAGCAAGTAATGGGATCAAGGCCTCAAGTCTTCAATTATAGAATACTTTCTCCTGTACCTGACTGCCTCTGATGAGAACTAACACTCCTGGTAATAAATTCTTGAGTATTTCAGAAAGGAAAAGTAGATAGAAAAGAGGAGGAATGAAAACAATACTTCTTGGAAATAGGCATTACAAATTAATGTCACTAGAACAGAAGAACAGATAAAGTAGAAAATGAGTGGGGAAACTGAGGATTAGACACCTTACATGCTTATCTACACTAGGAAAAGAAAAGAGTAAAAAAACACAAGGAAGATTGAGAGAAAGAATAATAATAAAAAATAAACTCAAGTACTTTGAGATTGGGCAGACCTGCTGGAAGAGGGAGTGAGTTGGAGGAGACCAAGTCAGAATAATGCACATATAATAAACCATAGAGAACAAAGGCTGATTTAAGATAAGTGGAAAATATGTATGTGCACATCTGCCTGTGTAATGGAAGAAAGCACAAACTTAACAGTTATAATTCTAAGTATAGATGGATTAAATTCCCCTCCCAAAAATAAACAGAATGGAGAAATGGATTTTTGAAAAGCCTGCTACATAAAAGAATCACATTTAAAACACAAATACATACAGAGTGCAAATGAGGTAGTGAAACAAATTTATTATGCTGTAGGCAACTCTAAAGAAGGCGAAATTTCAGATACTTCAACAACAAAAATCACTGTGAAGAGAGAAAACAGAAACTATGCTATACTGAAAGGCATCAGAGATAATAAAAATAGCAATAATAAATATAAATGCACCAAATGGTGCAGTGGCAAAGATTTTAAAAGAAAAACTACGTGAACTGCAAAAAGACAATGATAGTAATAGTTAAAAGACTATGTTGTTCTCTTATAATTGGATAAGGGCAACAGTAAGATAAAATGTTCAATTAATACAGTCAATCCTCAACATTAATTTGTTTAACTTTTGTAACATCAAGTATTTGCATGATTTTATTTGTAACCTCATCTTCACTTTTGCGTTGGCAACCACATCCACTCAAGGCTACATGTAGTAGAGAAAAAAATGAGAAACAAGATGCACACAAATTTGTGGACTGGCTGGTAACCACTTCATTGGTCTTGTTCACCCTACCACTGTAAAGAGCTCCCCATGCATTCATGGCATATTTCATTGTTTGCTTTTAAAATCTGAGTTCTGTGTTGCAATTATGCCCCCAAAGCATAGTGCAAGTCCTTTGGGCTCTAAGCCCAAGTGTGCAAAGTCAGTGTAAGGCTTAGTGAGGAAATAAACTTCATGCCAGAATGTCTGCAGCTGCTGACCTAATCAACTAGCTAGAGACAAAGAGGCTGCTATCATCTAGTGTAGCCTCCAGGTTAAACATCCACTTGCCTCTGCTATATTCCCCTACTCTGAGACCCTTAAGGATCTCAACAGTGCATGAAGCAGATATCACTGATAGATTATTTCAAGCTGGTGCATCCTTCATGATCTCCAATGCTATCTATTAGCCGTGAAGGGCAATGTGTTGGAGATGATGTCAAGACCTCAAGGCATCTTCCAACAGCAGCCAAAGTCCCAGCAACCTTTCCCTTGGTTTTCAGGGGTCAGCAAAGGTAGAGAGGTTTATGGCAGAATAGCATACAGTACAATGCTCTCACACTGCCATTTGACACAGTGGAAGCTAAAATTCAGGTTAAAAATTGCTTTAGTTTTATTTGTTGTAAAGTATTTATTATACTATAGATTTCATGTGTTATGAAAAATGAATATTGCCTGAAATCAATGCTTTTTTTTTAGTTGAGATGTTAACATAAAAGGTCACAGGATTCTAGGGAATTACTAGTGAGAAAAAATGTTTTGCATTTTGTGGATTATTTTATTGTTATTGTGTTGGGAAAAGTGCACATTGATCAGAATTAATGTTTTGTTATAAATAATTATATTCAGAAAAGTGTATTTTCAGCAATCTCTAGCAAAAGATAACAGTTTTTGGTGATCATGGTAGCCAAATCCTGTGTTTCCCCTATGTTCAATGTATTAACATTTGCATTTTTTACTTTTGCCCTATTTTCTAGGAACACTACCCCCACAAAAGTTGAGAAGACTGAATGTGTATCTGAAAACTTATATTAAAAAGGTGGGACAAAGAGATTAAGGAATTGATAAATTTTAAAAGACTAGAAAATAAATTAGCAATACTAAAGCAAGTATAAAATAAATCGTGGAAATTAGGAAATAGAGAAATCTGAAAATAAAATAACTACAAAGTTGGCAAATAAAACCAAAAGCTGTTTTCAAAAAAGAAGCAATGTAGATACATTATTAGCATAGAAATAGAGAAAACAGAGAGACAGAATAGAGAAATACAGAAAAAAGTCAAATTAGCAAAATTAAGTTAATGAAATGAATTTACAATAAGAGACAAAGTAAAATTATTAGAAATTATTACATGGAATTATGCATCAGTAAAACAAACAAGGTATTTTCAAAGGAGGTGGAACATCTAGCTTTTTAAAAAGGGAAAAAATAAAATATGAAATAGATTTTAAACAACTTAATATCATAAAAATAAATTGAGTAAGCCATAAATAAACTACCCAAAACAGAAACAAACTTGATACCTTGGCCAGATGGATTTACAAGTGAATTTCATTTCATCAAACTTTTAAAGAACAATTAATCCCCTTGGTAAAAAATTATTTTAAAAATAAAGACAAACCATTCTACTAACCTCCATTTATAAGGCAAAAATGTCACTGAAACTCAAACGAGTAGAAACAAAATAGAGAAAAAGAATCATAGGATAATCTCACTAACTGATGCAAATATATTAAATGAAATTCTCACTAGAGATCAGTAGAAAATATTCACACCAATGATGCAAGAGTAATCTCAATTAAGAAAACAATTGCCATAATTAGTCATATAAACAAAAGATAATAAAACCACACATTTACAAAAAGAAAAGTTATTTGAAAAATACAGTATTCATTTATATTAGAAACTCTAAGAAGCCAGGCAGGGCCCTTCTTTAATATGATTAAAAGTATATGTTTAATACCAAGAGCTAGCATTGCTCACAATGCAAAAAACTCTAGAATGTTTTCACTGTAACAACAGTGATATCTCTACATCCTCTCTAAAATTTGATTTGGAAGATTTAGAAATTTTAGGTATGGCAATAAGACAAAAATAAAATTAAAAGTATAAAGATCAGCAAAGAGGAAACAAAATCTATTTATCTGCTGATGACATAATGATGTATTTCAAAAACCCCAAAGCATGAATGAAGAAACTTATTTTATTCAATAAAGTGGCTGGATGCAAAACACACACACACACACAATTCAGCATTTATACAAAATACTAACAAAAACCGGAAAGAAAACGTAAAAAGGTAAGTTCCATTCAAAATGACTACAAAATGCATAAAACACCTAGAAACAAACTTGTCAAGATCTACGTGAGACTTACATAATACAATTATAAAACACTTTTTACAGATAAAACAATAATAAAGTTTATATGGTAGAACAAGATGTATGGAGTTGTCAAGAGAAACAGTGAGAAAAGAAACTAAGAGGGCACAATATTACCAGACAAGAACTGCTGGGACAAATGGAAAATAATCTGGCACAAATTAGGTCTGAATCAACATCTCACACCAGAAACCAAGATGAAATCCAAATAGGTACTTAACCTAAGATACAAAAGGTCAAGTCATAAACAAATTAGAAGAATAAGAAAAGAAATATCTTTCAGAACGAAGGATAGTTGAAGAGTTCAGGACCAAACAAGGGGTAGAGAAGATATCAGTAGATAAAACAGAAAGTTCTAATTAAATAAAACAAAAAAAAGATTTTGCATGAACAAAAATCAGTGAGGCTAAAATTATAATGGAAACAATTAAATGTAGAAAAAATATTTATGGCAAGTTTCTGTAATAGTTATCATATCCAAGATATATAAGGAAGTGATTCAAATATATAAGAATAACAGCCATATCACAATAGATAATTGGTCAAATAATCTGAACAGTTTCTGAAGAAAGAAATCCAAGTAATAGACAACCACATTAAAATGCTCTGAATCACTAGTAGAGATAGGAAAATTAAAATAACTCTAAGGATCTATATCATACCTATAAGAATGGCAAAAAGGACAAAAACCAGAAAACAATTGTTAAAGCTGCAGGAAAACACACAGACTAATATACTATCATTGGTAGAAATGTGAATTGTTCCAGTCATTTTGGAAAGCAATTTAGAACTATGTGCAAAATGAGACCAAATCATGCATACTCAGCAATACTATTAGGCCTATTCCACCCCTCCCCCACAAAACAAACAAACAAAAACAAAGTGAAATGAAAGGGACCCATATGTACCAAAATGTTTATAGCAGCTCTTTTTGTTAGCAGCAAAAAGCTATAGAAACTAAGAAACCAAGTTGATGCTCATCAATTGTGGAATGATTGAATAAACTATGTAATAGAATGTAATGTAATAGAACATAATTAGGCCATAAGAAATAATGAAAAGGATAGTTTCAGAGAAACCTGGGAAGATCTGTATGAACAACTGTAAAGTGACCAGAACCAGCAGAACTATTTATGCTGTAACAACATTTTAAAGAAAAACAATTTTGAAAAACTTAAGAAACTCTGATTAATCAATGACCAACCATGGCACTAGAGGAATGATGATGAACCATGCTACCCATTTCCTGATGAAGAGGTGATGGACTCAAGAAGCAGAATGAGCCATACATTTTCAGAAATGGGCAATGTGAGAATGTTTTGGTGACTTTGCCTATTTGTTAAAAGAGTTCTGTTTTTCCTTTGTATTTTTTTTTCCAATTTGGGGGGAAATAGGATTAGGATTAAGATCTCTTGCCCCTTTCCCTTCCAAAAGAAAAAATGAAAAAGAAAGAAAAGAGGGATATTGAAGGATTGTTTGGTTTTTTTTAATGTATGTCAGGGAACAGAAAGTCAGATAAGTGGGAGAATTCTGAAAGTGAAATGTCAAAGTTATTATGTAACAGAAATTTTCAGTTTCATATATATTCTTTCGCTGTTCTACTCTGAATATGAAGATGCATCTTTTATTTAGTATTTAAGTTCAGAATATAACATTTTTTTTAAAAAGGTATCTGTAATGGAACTAAAGATTTTATTTGTTCTCAAAGATCACCTGATCTTTAAAATTAAAATTATTATAATTATCACATTACATATATAACTTAATATATATAATATGATTGATATATTAGCTAATGTCTATTATATTATATTATAGTAAAATAATAAATATATGAAATTAAAATTATATAATAATGACCACCTCCTCCAAGGTGAATAAGGTATAAGTTAGCCTTAGCAGTCTAAAAAACTAAGGAACTTCTTAGTGAAATAAAGTAGAATTTGATGCCCTAAAGAGGTACTCTGACAAGAACTTGAAATGACACTGTTTTGAGGAAAGAACAAAACATAAGTCAAGAAATCTGGTTCTAGGTCTTTTCGTGGTGGCAAAAAATTGAAAAATAAGATGCTCATCAATTGGGAAATAGTTGAACAAGCTGTGATGTATGATTGTGATGGAGTATAACTGTGCTGTGAAAAGTGGGGAAGAAGATAATTCCAGAAAAAACTGGGAAGACTTATATGAGCTGATGCAAAGTGAAGTGAGCAGACCCAGGAGAACACAGTATACAGTTAAAAGCAACAATGTAATGACAATCAACTGTGAAAAACTTAGCTACTCTGATTAATACGATGTACAACAATTCCACAGAACTCATAACCAAAAATGCCATCCATCTCCGAAGACAAAACTAATCAACTCTGAGTGGAAACTGAAGCATTTTTTTTCCATTTTATTTTTTCTCCAACTCTAACGTTGTATAACTTCGTAATGGGAGACTGGCTAGTACAAGACCAGTCCCAAAAGCATTTGTGTTTGATGTACTGCTTCAGGAAGTACTTGATGAAGTGGGATGAAGGGACCCTGACCTCTAATTCAGAGCATGCACAAGTAGTTCTGGTATCTTATGATTTTCCAGTCTCATCACCACATGATGAAGAAATGGCCTTTCAATTGGCTAACTGTCCATGCAAACAAAAGGTTCCAATAACTCACCCTTATTTTTTCCCCTTCCTAACTTCTAAAACTTACATCTAAAACTTGGAGATGGAGGGTGGAAGGTAGCCTGATCTGTTAATCTGTGCTTGCATTTTGAAAGTAGTTCCTAGATTTGACTACAAACTCAATCTGTACTTTTTATGTGTAAATTTTGTATTATGGCTAAAATAACACAAATGTGTTTTCTACTCCTCTCTAAATATTCTCTGCTAAAAGGCAGTTTCTTCTAAATCATCAGACAAAAGAAAACTCAAATTTTACCTGCTTATATACCTGACGTAAATACATGATCTCTTCCACAGTTCCTAAGGATATAAGCCTAAATACTTTCACATCCCGACACTGCCCAATCCTATATGCTCTGCAAAAAACAAACACAAAAACAAAAACAAATTAATTGAAAGAGCTTTGTGTTGGGAGGTAATACATAGTTCTATGGTAGTCTAAAAACTCAAAATCTTGATTTATTTCTAATTTGTCATCACCATTTCTGAAGGTGTCCCTGCCCTTCCACTACCCAACAAGCCATCACTTAAAAGAAGTGAAAAAGGGAAAATAAAAAAAACATTCAGAAAAATTAACCATTATCAACTGAGTCCAACATTGTAGGCAATGTTCTCCACCCACAGATTTCCCTTCCTCTGCAAAGAATGAAGGAAAGTGCTTTTTTGCCTAATCTCTTCTTATGGCCCAAGCTTGGTCATTATAATTAATAAGTTAATTTTTAATAAGGTATTTATTATGTTTTTACTTTGCTCCAGGCACTAAGCTAGGAACTGGGAATAACAAAAACAAAAAGGAGTTGCTGCCCTCAAAGAGCTTACAATCTAATAAAAGAGGATAATACAAAACAGGAAGTAGACTGGTAATTCACAAGCATAATGAGCAGAGGTATATGGCAATTGATTGCCATGTCCTTTCCAGGAATGGTAGCATTGATGGTACTGCTGCCAGAGCTAGAAGCAAAAAGGAGGATGGAGAAGGAAGAGTATACATGGCATGGGTTGAGTCAGTTATGGAGAACTATTCTGTTCTTTATAATTTTACAATGTTGAAGCTTTAACTGCTTTGTGATTATTCTTTCCATTTACGGCATTGTAGTCAGTGTGTATATTGTTTTCCTGACTCTGCTTACTTTATTTTATATCACCGGTCTTTTTCACGCTTCTTTCTCTATGTTCATCATACTTGTCATTTATTAGAGTACAATAATATTCCATTACACTCATGTACCATAATGTTTTTAGCCATTCCCCAATCAAAAGCCACCTACTTTGTTTCCAGGTCTTTGCTACTACAAAAAGCTAATATGAATATTTTTATACATATGCAGCCTTTCTTTTTTGTTAATGATCTATCTCCCTGGGGTATGTGCCTAGAAATCATGGCATTTTTTTCCTTAAACAATAAACCTGATTTTCTTTAGGAGCTACAGAATGGTAGAGCAACCAGAAGTGCCTTTTCTCTCAAACACAACTACATTTTCCCCTTGGGTCTCCATTGAACTCTACAACTAAAAACCCATTAACATTAACAAGTTGAACATGTTTCAGTTGTTGTTACACACACTAGCTGTGGAAGGTTTGGTGTGAAAAGTGGGAGCTTCTGCTTCGAATATTGATTGCCCAGTTTATAAAATGCGACAAGGGCCTGAGAAAGTATCATCTTATTTTTCTCTATTTCTGCCATACTTTTTGCTGCTTTTTTGTTTACTTGATTAAAATAAACGTCTTATGCCTAACTTTCTTCTCTCCCTTTCCCAGATAGTAGTAGAAACTATTGCCTGAAATTAGTGAAATTGGCTTGAGGAAAACCATAAGAAGAACAAGGCAGCTGAGTGGTAGGCTTAGCGCTATGTCCTTATCTCCAGTCTCCTTGGAAGATGACTCCTATCCAAAAATGTTATTTTTCAATCAATCCAATCTGCCTTAAAAGCTCCAAAGTATCTGAATATACCATTCTCTATATATTGCATGCTATTAAAAAAAAAACAAACAAAAGGAGCTTCCCAGATAAAGTCTGATGAAGCTGGCTACATTTTTCATCAATAATCTTTTTATAGTTTTGGAAGTATTTAAATCTGAAATCAAAAGACAGGACATTTTAATAATCCTGGAATTCTGTTCAGTCATACTCAGAATGGTTCTACACTTTAGAAAAATGGTCAATACACTTCAAGCCAGCATGAGCTCCAAAACCATATTTCACAGTAAGATTTAAAAGATTATGAAATGTTCATGCTGTAAGAAATTATTTCATCCAACTCCCTCATTCTACAGATAATGAAATAATGGCAACGGGAGATTAAGTGATTTGCCCATGTTTGTACTACTGATCAGCAATAGAGCCTAGAATCTTTTCTTAAGAACAGAAAAAGATGTTTAAAAATGTGTATTTAAAACACTTAACAACTAAAAATTTATTTATTTTTAGTTTTCAACATTCACTTCCATAAGATCTTGAGTTCCAAATTTTCTCCCCATCCCTCCCCTCCCCCACCCTAAGATAGAGCGCAATTTAATATAGGTTCTACATATACATTCATATTAAACTTATTTTCACATTAGTCATGTTGTAAAGAAGAATTAGAATCAACAGGAGAAACCACGAGAAAGAAGAAACAAAAAAGAGAGAGAGAGCAAATAACATGCTTCAATCTGCATTCAGACTCCATAGTTCTTTCTCTGGATGTGGATAACATTTTCCATCATGAGTTTTTTGGAGTTGTCTTAGATCCTTGCATTGCTAAGAAGTGAAAAGTCTATCGAAGTTAGTCATCACACAATGTGGCTGTTACTATGTACAGTGTTCTCCTGGTTCAGCTTACTTCACTCAGCATCAGTTCACGTAAGTCTTTCCAGGTTTTTCTCAAGTCTACCTGCTCATCATTTCTTATAGCACAATAGTATTCCATCACAATCATATACCACAACTTGTTCAGCCATTGCCCAATTGATGAGCGTCCCCTCAATTTTCAATTCTTGGCCACCACAAAAAGAGCTGCTATAAATATTGTTGTATATGTGGGTCCTTTTCCCATTCGTATGATGCCTTTGGGACACAGACCTAGAAGTGGTATTGCTGGGTCAAAGGGAATGCAGTTTTATAGCCCTCTGGACATAGTTCCAAATTGTTCTCCAGAATGGTTGGATCAGTTCACAACTCCACCAAAAACGCATTAAGGTTCCAATTTTCCCACACCTTCTCCAATATCATCTTTTTCTTGTTTTTTTCTGTGTTAGCCAATTTGATAGGTGTGATGTGGTACCTCCGAGTTGTTTTGATTTGCATTTCTCTAATCGATAGTGATTTAGAGTATTTTTTATATAACTACACATAGCTTCAATTTCTTCATGTGAAAACTGACTGTATCCTTTGACCATTTATCATTTGGGGAATGAGTCGTAATAAATGATATTTTAAAAAGACCTAAGTATTCTTAAATAAGATTTCCTTCTCTACCTTTTCATCCCTTGCCTCAACCAATCACAAGTATATTTTGTATCAATCTAAACCTTTAAATTTCATGATCAAATACTATTTTTAAGAACCCTACATGATAAGCAGTATTTATAAATCACTTCAAATGACAGCAAGAACATATACCTGTCAATGGCTTGAAGATCATTGGCTGGATTCCAGGTAGGATCAAAGATCACAACAACATTGGCACCAACAAAATTGAGGCCAAGTCCACCAGCCCTTGGAGAAAAATGAGAAGGATTAAATTAGAAAGTTCTTTAGGAATGCTACTTCCTCAAAAAAATAAAAGTGAAGTGCTTAAACACAACTTATTAAGTTTTCAGCTGAAGGACTAACTTTGCTAGGCTTCTACTTTCAAAAACTGATTGCTATACTAACATTAAATTAACAAGGAGCAACAGAATTTTTTTATACGCCAACCAAATTGTGATGAGAAAGGAATATTTACCATATTTCTAGAATTACTTTTTCCCACTGGCATAGAATAACACTCAAAATGTTGAATGCCAAGTCAAGTGAGTTGTTTCCTCCCTGTTGTCTTTTAGACCTTTAAGTACTATTTTTGAAATGTTTTACAACAATATTTTTTTAAATTATCAGCATAATAAAACTAAACAAATAAAACACATTTTGTATGGGCAATCAATAAAAGTGCTTTTTAAAAAAGAGTACAAAGAAATGTTCTTTTGAAACCATTTGAACCTTTCAAACAGATTAAATTTTCAATTGTAAATAATATAAAAATGTAAAACTCAGATCCAAAACAAGTACTATAAGAAAATATAAAAAGTAAGTGATCATTTTCAGCTTGCAGCTGCAAAAGGAAGAAAATCAGAGAGCACATTATAAATGGTTAGAACTCCCATAGTCAAAATACAATCACATTCTACAACTCTAGTTTAGCATATGAACTCTGTGGGGCTAAACACTGTGTCAAGCAGACAAATATAGACTCCAGTACCCAAATCAGGGAGAGATAAGCTAGACCAAAAAGAACTATAGACCAGTGTGTCATTAATGAATATTTCTGAAAAAATTTTAAATAAAAGATAAGTACAGAAAATATAGCAATATAACAAAAAATATTCTCCAAGACCTCAAGTTGCCTTGATACCAAGGCTAGAGGTATGGTTCAACATTAGGGAAACAAATAGAATAACTACTTGTATAAACAACAAGAAACACATAATAATTTCAATAATTATAGTAGGGGAAAAAAGCCTTCCTCAAACCCCACATCAATAATTTATCTTTTAATAAAAGCAACAGAAGCAACAAGAAAACACAGGTAGAAAAGGAGCAGCAGAATAGGGTTGTGGTTCTGAGAAGATATGGGTTCAAGTCCCATTACTGACAAAAAAAAAGTGGGAATGAAGTGGCCCGAGCAGCTCTAGATCTCATATGATACTACAAAGCAGTAATCATCAAAAAGGTTTAGAAAACTGGTTTAAAAATAGAGGTTGTTCAGAACAGATTAGGTATACAAGGTACAGAGGCAAATGAATTTAATAATGCAGTATTTAATAAAACTGAAGTCTCCCACTACTAAGGGACAAAAAATGCTGGGAAAAGTGAAAAGCCATCTAGGAGAAATGAGGTTTAGACCAACATCTCATACCATATACCAAAATAAGTTCTAAATGGATACATGACCTAGATATAAAGTTACACCATAAACAATTTCAAGGAGCAAGGAAGAAATTTCCTGTTGGATCTATGGAAAGAGGAAAAGTTCATGACCAAACAAGTAGTAGAAAATGTCACAGAAGATAAATGGCCAATTTTGATTACATAAAAAAATTATGTATAAAGACTGAGCAATGCCAGCAGTAGGCCTATACCACAAAGAGATTTAAAAAAAAAAAAGGAAATGGCCCTGTGTGTACAAAAAAATTTTAGTAGCTCTTTTTGCAGTAGAAACTAAAGAATGCTCATCATCTGGAGATAGGATGAACATTATGGCATTGGAACATATTTGCATCATAAGAAATGATAAAAGTGATGGTTTTGGAGAAACTTGGGAAGAATTTCTAAAAAATGATACAAAATGAAGTAAGCAGACCAGAATAACAAGTTGTACGATGTTAACACCGTAAAGACAAACACCTCCGAAAGGCTTCAGAACTCTGATCAATACAATGACCAAACAAAATTGCAGAGGACCAAGGTAACTCCACATCCTGACACTGAGGTGATGAACTCAAGAAGCAAGACGAGTCAAATTTTGATTATAGGAATTTGTTTCACTTAACAATCCAAATTTGTTATGGAGGTGTTTCTCTCTCTCTTTTTTTTTGAGGACAGAAAATCTATGCTTGTCAATTGAAAAAAAAAAGTTAAAATGTTTTAAAGAAAGAATTAAAGTTGAACAAAGAAAAATAAGCACGACCAGGAAAACATTTCATACACAGACTACAATAAAGTAAGGAAAACAAAATCAAAAGCCCTAAGAACCATGATTAAGTCAATAATCATAATTTCAGAGGACTGAAAATAAAACATGCTTTCTACTTCTCAGTAGGAAATCTGAGGACTATCAGTGTAGAGTGAAACATACATCGTCAGATATGACCAAAGTGTGGATGTGGGGTTTTTTTTTTTAACTATCTTTGTTACACGGTGTTATATTGGTAAGGATGGAATGGGGCAAGGTAGAATGAAAAATAAAAGCAGGTGGGATTGGGAACGTGGTGAGATTCTTAATCAAACAAGGGGTAGATATAATAAAAGATAAGACAATTTCAACTGCTTAAAATAATTTTTAAAAAAGTTTTTTTACAGGCAAAATAAATATATTTAGGTGTTTTTGTTTTTGTTTTTTTAAATTAGGATACCTGTGTGATTCATCTGTGTAAGATGCTACTGGTTAGGAACATCCTTTACCAATGCAGAACAGCACATTCTCTGGAGCTTATCTCAGAAATGCCTAGGAACCAGAGGTTGAGGAACTTGCCCAGGGTTACACAGTTAATATAATAATAGCTAACATTTATAAAATTCTTTAAGGTTTATAAAGTGCTTTACAAATACTATCGCACTGCATCTTCACAACAACCCTGGGAGGTAGATGCTATTATTATCTTCATTTTACAGATGAGGAAACTTTGACAAAGATTAAGTGGTTTGCCCCAGGTAACACAACTAGTATGTTTCAAGAGGGAGAAGTTGAAATTAGGTCATCCAAGATAAAAAGCATAACTGTCAAATGGAGAAAAAAAATATTTGCATCAAACATCTCTGGCAAAAGTCTGATACCTAAGATCTATGGGAGTCTAACACAAAATACAGTCTATAAAACTAAGAATCATTCCCCAATAGATAAGCAATGAAAGGATATGACAAAAAGCTTTCAAACAAAACCCAGAAAACTGGCAAATATGACAAAAGATGGAAATAGCTGATGACAGGAGAGTTGTAGAAAGTTAGACATTTTCTCAGACATCTCTTTATTCTTCCCCTTGCTGCACTCATTCTGGATTTCTTTGACTTCTCTGGCTACACTGATTCCGGATTTGAGTTTTCCACTATTTCCTCCAACTCCTCCCCCCCATCCAACTGCTACCTCCCCTATAGTTTTTCAGGCTTCCTTTATGTGTTGCCTTCCAACATGTTTCCCCTGTAAGTTACTTAAGGGTAGGAACAGTCTTTCTTTTTCATATTTATATTTCCAGAACTTAGTACAGTGCCTCGCATACAGTAGATGATTAATAAATGTTTACTGAGTATTGCTTTATGGGCACACTACACATTTAGCCGATTTGTGAATTGTGTGGTTTATCCTTCATTCTTGAAGATGACCATGACATCAAGGAGATGATGACATGACTTGCAATTGAATTGGATTTGAGTGAGGGAGGGCTGTGCAAAGTCACCAGCATCACTTTCTCCTTCAGAGCCATCTGGATCCAGTGGCCAGATATAGATCAAGATGACTGGAGATGGCCCAGGATGCAGTGGGGGGCCTTGGCCCTTTTAAGCTAAGGTCTTTTCAGGTTCTCACTATGAGTGAGGCAGCACCCATTCAGTGAATGGGCCTCTTCGTGAATTAGTTGAAATTTGGCCCAGCTGGTAGTACAGTAGATAGAACACTGGGCCTGGATCCAGGAAGATCTCAGTTCAAATCTGGCCTGAGACACTTAATAACTGTGTGACCCTTGGCAATTCATTTAACCTGTTAGCGCCTATCTCTCAAAGTTGTTGTGATGATCAAATAGATAATATTTTTAAAAAGCACTTAGCACAGTACCTGGCACATTACATGTGTTATATTAAGGCTTATTCTTCCCTCTGCCCTATCCCTGTCCCCAACATCTTTGAAAGGATCAAAAAATCCCTAAACAGTTCATATTCCTTGACCTATATATCCCACTGTTGGGCATATACCCAAAGGAACTAAAAGACAGAAAGAAAAGTCTGACATGTGCAAAAATATTCATAGCATTTTTTTTTTGTGGCAGGGAAGAAAGGAGGAATAAAGAGGGGGAGCCCACTGATTGGGGAATGAGTAAACAAACTATGGTATATGAATGTAATGAAACATAATATCATAAGAAACAATTAATATAAAGAATTCTGAGGAAAATGTTAAGAAATAAATTGTTGCAGAGTTAAGAAAGTAGAACCAAGAGAAAAATATGCCAGACTACAATCATATAAATAAAAACAACACTAAAAAAGCAGCTGAACTCACATTAAATGAAATGAACAAACTGGGAAAACAGATGGAGACAGATTCCTTCTCTGTGAAGGAGCAGAATGCTATCTATTCTGCTGCCTCATTTCTCTTAGCCACTTTTCTTTGTTACAAGAAAGGGTTCCATGAGAGAGAGTAGACATGGATACCAGAAAATCAACAAAAGGTATCAGTAAGACATAAGAATAGCAACAATGCACAACAACTGGGTCAATCACTTATACAGAATCCGAAGGCCTCCCATAATAGACCCCTAGCCCCTCCAACATTATCTATACTGGAAATCAGTACCTGAGACCCAGACCATATCTATAGCATACTAACACATCAGTCATCATTAAACCCAAGTGCCTAAATCTTCAAAGATCCAAAAGGCAGGTAGCACCTCTCAACTGGCTCAGGGTCCAGAATGAGCAATACTCTTTCAGTGACACCACACTAATTCACAGCAATTAAACTTACTCCCACACAATGACTCAATGCTTCCAAGGAGATCACAGGAATTAACACTCTGCCTACCACAGTCTTGAAGCATGACTTAATCACATACTAACTTGTTACATTCTGATTTCACTGACAGTAACCTAATACCTCTAACACTTTCTCAAAGCTCCACCGCACTGAACCACATCTGCTTCTTTCAGTACTGGTCCATGTACCAGTTGGGACACTTTTTAAGGCAGAGGTAATTCATTATGGCCAATATCGAAGATGACACTGAAATTAAGGATCTGGGTGCATGGGAAGATAGTGGTGCCCTTGACAGAAATTGGGAAGTTCAGAAAAGAAATAATCACTGAGACATAATCTTATGTCCTAACCTTTTGCAGGAAGTTTCCTCTTAGAATTCCATGTCAGAAAAAGAAAAAGCGAAGTGGATAGAGCACCGACCCTGGATTCAGGAGGACCTGAGTTCAGATCCGGCCTCAGACACATAACACTAGCTGTGTGACCCTGGGCAAGTCACTTAACCCCACCGCCTAGCCAAAAACAAAGAAAAAAAAGAAAAAAAAGTTGTACCTGTTCAGATAAAACTTATGTTTCTTTTTGCCAGATAAGAGCTATATGGCTCAGTGGATAGAAAGCTGCACCTAGAGTCAGAAACACCTGAGTTCAAATCTGGCTTCAGACTCTTAAGAGATGTGCCTCGGCAAATCACTTAGTCTCTGTTTGGTTCAGTTTCCTCATCAGTAAAATGGGGATAATAATAGCACCAGCCTTCTGGAGTTGTTGTAAAGATCAAATGAGATAATATTTGCAAAGTGTTTAGCATAGTGCCTGGCACATTATTATTAAACAGGCACTTAATATGTGCGTGTTCCCTTCCCTAAAAAAGTATATTTCCCTTCTGCCTAAACTTCTCAGAGCTAAGTTAAATGCTCAACTTCAGTAACCAATGTTTCCGTAATAACTGACAACATCTGCTTTTCTGCTGCATTTAACACAAATGTGCCCTGTTAATAATTTAAATTTTCCTGTTGCATATATTTTTTAATTCTGTGAACCGCTCTAAATTTGTTACAAAATTTTTTGGCAAATACCATTTTAATTTGAATTTAATTTGATCATCATAAGGCACACCCCTCCAACCCTGCCACTTTCCATTAGAGTGTAAGTTTGACAGTAGAAATTGTTTCATTCATTATATTTGTATCTTCAGTGCCTAGCTCAGTGACTGGCACAGAGTAGGTGCATAATAAATACTTTGACTGATTGATTTCTGGAGCTGTAATTCTGGAGGAAGGAGGGAGAAGTTGGAGGAGGAAGGAAGAGTAACAGGAGAAAAATGAAAAGAAAAAAATATATAATTAAGTACAAGTGTAGAAAACCTGATATAAATATACAACCTGATTGTAAATTTTTTTTAAGTCAGAATTTGTTGCTTTTGGCCAAAAACCTTTCCAAAATTTACAGGGAATAAGAGTATGTATGTGTGTATATATATAATATATATATATATATCTATATATCTATCTCTGTATATATATAGATATAGATATATATAGATATATGTGTGTGTGTGTACACGCATATATATATATACATATATATGTATATGTATATATATATATATATATATATATATATATATATATATATATTTACATGTATAATTCTTTTTTTGGGGGGGTAGGAAAAAAATTTGGGGAGGCTGCCCTGTGATTTCATTGATATGGGCAACTTCCAAGAAAAAACTTTCTCTTTCCAATTTATAGTCTTCAGAGAGTTCCCTGTGGCATTTAGATGCAGCAAGGTGTAGTGGTATATTGTACAGTCAAGACCTGGTTTCAAGTCCCACTTTTGACATACACTGGTTCTGTGACCTTGGACAAGTTAGAATAGATTAACAATAAAACTACTGGGCATGAAAATACATAACACTTCGGAGGAAATTTCAAGAAAGGAATAATCAGATCAAATACACTACTAGCATACAATAACTATGGACTAAAATAACTTTGCCTCTGCCTTTTTAAACAGTCAGAGCAAAAACAAATTAAATAAGTGAAAGTTACACAAAAAAGTAAGTAAGGCTTATTTTATAGAATTTACAGCAAAACACAGTGGAAACAATGTTGGACTTGTAGTCAAAACAGATCTGAATTCAAGTCTCAGTTCTGATAGTTTGCATGATACTGAGCTCTGTTCCTTAGTTTCCACATCTGCAAATCTAACACAAAAATACTTCCACTACCAACCTAACAGGATTGTTTTAAGGAAAGTACTCTGTAAATCTTAAACTATTATCATTAAAACTATAAACTAAAAGATTCTCTATGTTACAGTCATTCTCCTCTAAGTATCTGGATTCACAAAAAGCAATTATACAAATTAATGCCACTGGACATAGTATTAATCCAGTGCAGCTAATTTACAAAGTTTTACCTACAATATTACAAAATTATTAGATAAAAACTAAGTTATAAAATTAATTCTCTTACATTGTAGAGACAAGGCAAATGTTAACATCTTGTGTGCTGTTGAATTCTTTCACTATCTTAACCCTTTCCTCTGACTTGGTACTTCCATCAAGTCTTCGGTAATCTAGCCCTGTGGCCATACAATATTGCTCCAGAATATCCAGCAACTGGTAAAAAAAAATAAAGACAGGCAAACAAAGAAATATTAATACGTGTTACAAAAAATATAAAATATTATGCAGAAAATGTTACTAATTGTAACCCAGAAATTAACCTTCCTATAATTACATATTACATCTTCTAGCACTTAACTAGGACCTGGCTCCTTTCTGATGATGCATTTCTCTTGGATGTCTTTTCCAGGACTGATTGCACTTTTGATCATAAAACCTGACCGGCAGATCATGGTAGAGAGTTGGAATATTGTTTGCTCCCAGTTTCCACTTCTGAGGTCTGCCTTCCAAGGTCTACCACCAACAACACTCAGTAACCTCCCTTCCCTTGAGCTTCATTCAATTAATATATTTCACCAAATGATGATTCCAGTGAATACTGTCCATCAACCTCCAGGACACTCTCCTTCCTTCTTTAATGAGTTAAGTGCCTGGCTCACAATCTTTCTCTCCTTCCCAACTCTTGCCTTCGTACTAAAAGACTTCAACACATATACTGATATTCCCTCACCCTGACCTTTCAGTTTCCCAGCTTCCACTCCCCCCCTCCCCGCACTCCACCACAGTTAGATAGTCATACTCTGGAACATGCCATCACCTACAAATACACCATTTTCCATGTTCATGAATTCTGAAATGCCCTTTTCAGATCAGTCTGTTGTCATTCCACCTCTGCCTCTGCCCTGGAACACCAAAATCTGTCCTTCATTCTAAGTGAGATCTTCACTCCCTCTGTAGTGACAATGATGATCATCCTCTTCTTCTCTCTAGGTTTTAGTGACACCACTTTCTCCTGGCTTACCTCCTACCTACCTAATTTCTCCTACTCAATGTTCTTAACTTGATCTTTGTCTCTAGGTCATACCTGCTAACTGTGGGTGTCCCACAGGGCTCTGTCCTGGGCCTACTTCTCTTTTTCCTCTGTATTGTTTCACCTGGTGATTCCAACATTTTTCATTGATTCAATTATTATCTCTCTGCTGAAGATTCTCAATTTTACTTATCTAGTCCTAACCTGTCTCCTGATCTCTAGTCTCACATCTACAAATGTCTACTGGATTTCTCAAACTGGATATCCTACAGACATGTTAAACTCAACATGTCAAAAACTGAACTATTTATCTTTTCTCCTCAAAGCCTCCCTACTTTCTGAACTTTCTTGTTACTGTGAATGGTACCACTAATCTTCTGGTCACCTAAGTTCACAATCAAGGTGTCATTCTCAACTTCTCACTCTCACTTCCCCAAATACAGTCCACCTCCTATCTTTCCAGTCACCTTACATCTTACTCACGGCCAAGTACTCTGTGATCCAATGACACTAGCTTCCTCACTGTTGCTGTGGGTAGAATTCTCTCCCTCCTCATCTATGCCTCCTAACTTCCTTCAAGTCTTAGCTAAAATCTCACCTTATTTCAATAAGCCTTCCTTGGTTCCTCTTAATTTTTTAATTTTTTTTAATATATTTTTAAAATTTATTGTTTTTTAGTTTTCAACGTTCACTTTCACAAGATTTTGAGTTCCAAATTTTCTCCCCATCTCATCCCTCCCCCACACCCCAAGATGGCATGCATTCGGTATAGCCCTTCCCCTCATCTGCCCTCCCTTCTATCTTTCCCCTCTTCTCTTATCCCCTTCCCCTTTAATTTTCCTGTAGGGTAGACTAGATTTCTATACCCCGTTTCCTGTTTTTCTTTTTTCCCAGTTGCATGTGAAAACAATTTTTTTTTAACTTTTGTTTTTAAAACTTTGGGTTCCAAATTTTCTCCCTTCCTCCTTCCCCCCACACACCCTCACTGAAAAGGCAAGTAGCTTGATACAGGTTATACGTGTATAGTCATGCAAAACACTTCCACAGTAGTCATGTTGTGAAAAACTAAGTATACTTCCCTTTACCCTATTTATTCTATTTTCTTTTTTGACCCTGTCCCTCCTCAAAAATGTTTGCTTCTGATTACCCCCTCCCCCAATCTGCTCTCCCCTCTATCATGTTGCTGCTCCATTGCCCCCTTTCCCTCCTATATTCCTGAAGGGTAAGAGGTTTCCATACGCAACTGAATGTGTATGTTATTCTCTCCTTAAGCCAAATCCAATGAGAATAAGAGTCACTCATTCCCTCTCACCTTCCCCCATTTTCCCTCCACTGTAAGAGACTTTTCTGTTTTTGTGAGATAATTTACCCCATTCTACCTCTCCCTTTCTTCTTCTCTGAGTATAATCCTCTCTCACCCCTTAATTTTATTCTCCAGGTATCACCTCTTCATCTTCAACTCACCCTGTGCCCTCTATCTATTTATCTATCTATATACATAAAATTTTTTTCTCTCCCACTACCCTAAGACTAACAGAAGTCTCATGAGTTACAAATATCATCTCTCCATGCAGGAATGTAAACATTTCAATCTTAACAAGTCTCTTATGATTTCTCTTTCCTGTTTACCTCTTCATAGTTCACTTGAGTCTTGTATTTGAAAGTCAAATTTTCTATTCACCTCTGGTCTTTTCATCAAGAATGCTTAGAAATCCCCTATTTCACTGAATGACCATTTTTTCCCCTGAAGGATTATACTCAGTTTTGCTGGGTAGGTGATTCTTGGTTGTAATCCTATCTCCTTTGCCCTCCAGAATATTATACTCCATGCCCTCCAGTCCCTTAATGTAGAAGTTGCTAAATCTTGTATTATCCTGATTGGGTTTCCACAATACTTGAATTGTTTCTTTCTGGCTGCTTGCACTACTTTCTCCTTGACCTGGCAACTCTGGAATTTGGTCCTTAGGAGTTATCCTTTTGGATCAGTGGATTCTTTCAATTTCTATTTTGCCCTCTGGTTCTAAAATATCAGGGCAGTCTTCCTTGATAATTTCTTGAAAAATGATGTCTAGGCTCTTTTTTTGATCATGGCTTTCAGATAGTGCAATAATTTTTAAATTCTCTCTCCTGGATCTATTTTCCAGGTCAGTTGTTTTTCCAATGAGGTATTTCACGTTGTTTTCTATTTTTTCATTCTTTTGGATTAGTTTTTATAGTGCCATGATTTCTCATAAAGTCACTACCTTCCAATTGCTCCATTCTAATTTTTAAGAAGTATTTTCTTCAGTAATCTCTTGGACTTCCTTTTCCATTTGACCAATTTTTCTTTTTAGGGCATTCTTCTTCTCATTGGCTTTTTGGACCTCTTCTGCCATTTGGGTTAGGCTATTTTTTATGGTGTTATTTTCTTCAGTATTTTTTTGGGTCTCCTTTAGCAAGCTGTTGACTTGTTTTTCATGATTTTCTTGCATCACCCTCACTTCTCTTCCTAGTTTTTCCTCTACTTTTCCTACTTGTTTATCAAAATCCTTTTTGAGCTCTTCCATGGCCTGGGACTGATTCATCTTTTTCTTTGGATGTGGGGACTCTGACTCTGTTGTCTTCTTCTGGTTGTATGTTTTGATTTTCTTTGTTACCAAAGAAAGATTCTCTGGTCTGACTTTTTTTGGACCTTTGTTTATTCATGATCATAGACAATTACTTGAGTTTTAAACTCTTTGTTAAGGCAGGAGTCTGCTTCCAATGTGGAAGCTTCAGGGGTTTTGTGCAGCTGTTTTCAGAGATACTTCTAGGGACCTATAAATTTTCAGTTCTTCCAAGATGGTATGGTAAGGTTCGAGGTGTTTACTCCTTTTCCGGCCTGTGTTCTGGTCTGTGAGTGATCACAAACACTCTTTTCTCCCTTGGAACTGTGAGGAGGATTTCCTCTGTACCACCACGCCAGCACTCCACCTCACCCCAGGATCACCACCCAAAACTGTGACCCAGATCTAAGCACGGCAAAGCAAGAGATTTCTGCACCAGCAGAGAGATCTCTGCAATCCCTCTCTGGTCAGCCACTGGATTCCCCCTCAGTCAGTGGGCCGGAAGCTCCAGAAGCAGCCGCTACCTCAAGACAAGCTCAAGGACTGGGGCTGGGACTGAGCTTCTCTCTGTCACTGCAGATACAGACTTTTCCCACTGACCTTCTAAGTTGTCTTTGGCGTTCATGGGTTGAGAAGTCCAGAAACTGCCACGGCTGCCCATGATTCAGTCCTCTGAGGCCTACTCCAGGTTCACTGAGGCCTGCCTTGCCTGCGCGCCCATGCCAAACTGTGCTCCTCTACCAGCCTGGCACGATATACCATTCAGATCAACCATCCAGGCTGTTTGGGCTGTAAATTTGTTTCACTCTGTCTTTTTGTGGGCTCTGCTGCTTTAGAATTTGTTTAGAGCCATTTTTTACAGGTATTTGGAGGGGTTTGGGGGAGAGCTCAAGCAAGTCACTGCTTTCACTCTGCTATCTTGGCTCTACCCCCTGGTTCCTCTTAATCCTAGTGTTTTTCCCATGAGACTGTTGCCAATTTATCTGGCACATATCTTGTTTGTATATGGTTGTTTGCAAGTTGTCTCCCCCATTAGACTACAAGCTCCTTTAAGGCAGACATTGATTTTTTGTCTTTCTTTGTATTCTCAACACTTAGTACAGTGCCTGGCCCATAGTAGGTGTTTAATAATTGGCAGCTGACTTCTTTTTTTATTTTCATTTTCAAATGTTAATTATTTTTAGATTTTTAAAATATAAAGAAATCAAAAGACTTCCATTTTAAAAGTATGAATAATTAACCAAGTTATTTACTTAAATATTCCTAATTAAGTTTACTTTGCTATGGAATGGTACTCTAGCCTTTGATCATTGACTTAGTCAACTAATAATTATTTATTAAGTATATACTATGAGTAAAGCACTATTAGAGACTTTCATAATATAGATCTTTTAAAAATAGCCTTTATAGGGAAAAATATATATACATATACCTACATATGTATACTATCTACATATATGTCTATATACATATACTATCTATATATATCTTTGAGTTTAAACTTAAATGACGCCCTTGATGTAATAAACATTCAAATCTCTTTTAAAATACTATGCTATTTATCTAATTACCATTTTCAATGGTGTATAAAAAAGAAAATGTGGCTAACAGCTGTTGCTGCCATCTTTTTTTAGGCCTCAGGAGTTATTGCTGAGGTCAGTCATGAATACAAATCATAAGGTACTTACCTTGGTAGAAAAGGAAAAAAGAAGAACTTTGTCTCTGTTTTTTTTGCAGTGATTTAAAAGCTGCTGAAGGACCTGGAAGTGAACCACAAAATGGTAGTTAACTGGTGCCCACTTAAGGTATAATTCATACATGTAGAGTTATCTATCATGTTACAATGTCTAAGAAATTATTTTCATATATCCCTATACCTCAGCCTTCTTTTTCATTACATTTTTTCCCTGCCAAACACAGGATTAAAGATTTCCTGTCAAACTGTGTTACAATTATGTTGGCAATAAACAGTTGAAATTTCTAAAACTTTGCAATTTATTTCATTTTTTTAAGAGCAAATAATATTTTACCAAGATGTCCAAAGATAAATTAATGTCTGAAACATCTATTTCTTTCTTAGTACAGCACTGGGCTAAAATACAAAGTAGTGTTCTTCCATTATTTGAGAAATATACACTATATCTGAAAATTTTCTATATTTAATGAAATTTTCTCATTATATTCATGGGATGAATGTCTTGAGACATGTTTTCTCAAAATAATTAGAAGGATGTAGTCCCTCCTTACTCATTCTCCTGTTTATTCCTGGCTATAGCTTCCTAAACTTGATGCTGACCTCCTAACAATAATCAGCTGCACACACACACTGTTCTAGTCACAAAGCAAATAATCCAGAGCTTTATGTAAAATGCTGATAACTAGTTAGACAGAGGTTATTAGGGAGATAATAGGTTAGACAGCATTTGGGAAATTGTGAAGTACTTTCAATAAGTATAAGCTTCTCCTTGAAAAAATAGCCTATCTTTTAAAGATCAATAGTCTTCTAATAACATGATGTGACTAAAAGTCACAGAATACCATAGTCTTAAAAGAATTAAAGCTGTGAGTCACCAAAAAAGGCAATACAGCAAGTCCTGAGAAGGCTGTAAGAATTATGCAGGTGAAACAAAGAAATGTATAACCAAAAAAGGAGAGTAAAGGATATTGGTCATGAACGTGATGGAAATGTCCATTTCTCTTTGATCCAGAGATTCCACCACTGAGCATACGACCCATGAAATCAATGACAAAATGAAAAGCTCTGTATACAACAAAATACTGACAGCAGCACTTTTTGTAGTAGCAAAGAATTAGGAACAAAGTATATGAGCATCTATTAGGGAATGGCCAAGAAAACTTTAGTACATGAATGTAAAGGAGTAGTACTGTGCTATAAGAAATCAAGAATACTGAGAAGTCTGAGAGAACATATATGAACTAATGCAAAGGGATGTAACTTGGACCAGAAAAAAAAAAGAACAATTTATAAAATGGTCAAAACTGAATGTAGTGAAATTATAATGACCAAACTCAGTCTCAAAGAAGAAAGAAGACATCTTCATGTTCCTCCCACCTCTGCTTCTTCACAGAGGTAGAGGGCTACAGGTGTGGTACACTGAATATAGAGTCAAACTTTTTCATTATGTTGGCGAATTTTGCTCAACATTTTCTTCCTGCTTTTCATTATTTATTACAAGGGATGCCTTTTTGGAAGGGGGAAGGGCAACATATTAGGAAATGCAGATGATATGAAAACTAAAGATATTAATGCAAATTTATTTTTAAAAATAAAAAGACTATACTATATGAAAACTTCTTCTTCTAGGCAATAAACCCTTTAGCAATTTAAGAATTCTGATTAAAACTTTTTCTTCAGGGATAAATTTTTGACATTTAAATGGATGAAAACCACTATATATATCTTTTACTAGCTGAGTAAGAAATAGAAATTTGTGCTACTTCCAAAGTTTGGAACATTTTCATGATGAAAAGCTACTTACAGAACTGCAATTACATTCTTTAGCTGAACTAAATGGCTAATAAGAGAGATATAAACCATCAGAATGTATCTTTTATTTTGCAGGATTTGGCAAATACACAGACACACAGTTTACGGAAATAAAGATTATGAAAATAAAGAAGAATCTCAACTTACACACTGGTATTTTAATTTCAGAGGACACAATTAAAGCCAAAAAATTAACTGTTGAAATATTAAGGCAAGTTCTAGTACTAATATTACTTTTACTACTACTAATACTACTAAAGGAAATCATCATAACTAAGCCTCTATCAATTGTGATTAATTATAGTTAATCTGCAACATGGCAAACAAAATCCATCACTGCTTCTGGTTCTGCCCTCTGAAGCAGAGCAGTTCTAGTCTAAACCCTCCTGCGTGTGACAGTCCTTCAAATATATGAACATGGCTCACTCTGAGGTTTTTTTTTCCACCCTAGACCAAACACATCCAATTTTTTCAACTGATCTTCATATAACATGGACTCAAGACTCTTTAACAACCTTTTTTCACTCCTCAGGACAGTCAAGCTTACAAATGTCTTTCTTAAACCATGGTGTCCAGAACTAAATACAAGATTTCAGATGGGGCCTAATTGGGGCAGAGTAATTAATCATCTCCCTATTCCTAGAAATTGTTCTTCTCTTAATATAGTCAAAGATTGTATTAGTTGTTGTTGTTGTTTTGACTGCCACATTAAACTGCTAACATATCAGACCTGTAAGGAACTTTCTGGATCCTGACTATTGTCCAGTGTGTTACCTCTACCTCCAGATTTGTGTCATCTATAAATGTTATTCCAAGTTACTGACAAAAATGTTGCACAGCAGAGGTCCAAGCCCAAATACCTAGTACTCCACTGGGAATCTTTTGCTATGCTGACAGTGAATCATTAATAACTAATCTTTAAATTCAACCATCAACCAGATCTGAATCCATCTAACTATATTACTATCTAGTCAACATTTCTCCATCTGCTCCACAAGAAATGCATTAAATATTTTATTGAAAGTTTTGCTAAAATTTAAGTAAACTCTATACAAAGCAGTTCTTTCAGCTCCAAGTTTACTAATTCTATTTAAAAAAAAAGGAAATGATGTTAGTATGGAATGATCTTGTCTTGATGAAGTGATGCTGCCTTTTTTTGTGATCATCACTTCCTTTTCCAGATGAATAGACTTTTTTTGGGGAAAAAATGATAAAGTGCTTAGTATAGGCAAAGCACTACACTAAGCATTGGGGACACAAACAGAAGAGTGAAACATGATGCTCTCAAGAAGCTCACATTCTAAGAGGGGCAGACAACACACAGGAGTTTTCAGCTACAAGTCAGACAAAAAGGCCGTATGGTACTTAGGTTGCAGCAACCAACCAGAAAGTAATGTCTTTTGTGGAGTGTTATTCCCACTGATAAAACCCTATCTATTTCTGATGTTGAACCACCAGAATGAGATCCAGTGGTGTCAAGAACTTTCTTTTCTGAGTCTCAGTAGCTGTGGCTTCTCAGGAGGCAGGGGCTGCAACACCAATAAAAGCAGTTGCCAGAAAGCAATTAGAGAAAGCTGTGGGACTTGGCTGGAAGTAATACTGATGGTCTGGGAATACTCTTATTCTCAGGACTCTTGGGTTTAGGATCCTGAGGTGTCTCCACCTTGGTCTTGTCAAGATAAAATTCTCACAAAATGTGTATCTTTGATCTCATTCCATTTTTCTTCTTGAGCAGAGGGCCTCCTCTCTCCCCACTTTCTCACTAATCTACAATCTCTCCCTATCTATTATCTGCTTCCCTGTTACCTACAAACACACCCAATCTGGGGCCACCTTCAATTGTCCTGATCTATAACTTGCCACAGGACTCAGATGGCTCTGCAGAAGAAAGTGAAGCTGGAGACCTTGCACGGCCCTTCCTCACTTAAATCCAATTCACTTGCAAGTCATGGCATCATCTTCCTTTTGTCATAGTCCTCCTCAAGAAAGAAGGACAACAAAACATACCCATGTCTCTTTTCTTTAAAAAACAAAACAAAACAAAACCTTACTTAATTCAACCATCCTCACTAACTACATTCCTCTTCCCTTTCATGGCTAAACTCCTTGGGAAAATAATCTAAACTAGGTACTGCCACTTCCCCTACTTCTTACTCTAAGTCTTCTGTATTCTGGCTTCTGACCACATCCATTCAACTAAAATTACTCTCTCCAAGTTTACCAATTATCTCTTAATTGCCAAATCTTTTCTTACCTTTTCTCAATCCTCATTCTTCTAGTCCTTTCCGCAGCCTTCAACACTTTAAATGGCCACCTCTTCTTGGACACTGTCCTCTCTAGGTTTTCATGACACTGCTCTCTCCTGGTTCTCCTCTTACCTGGGACTGTATTGTCTAAGGATCCCTTGCTGGATCTCCATCCAGACTGTGATCACTAACCGTGGGTGTTTCCCCAAATTACATCCTGGATGCTCTTTTCTTCTCCTTCTTATACTATTTCACTGGTGATCCATGGATTCAAATGTCTGTATGTAGATAATTCTAGATCGATTTATCTAGCACATCTCTTTTAACCTACAATCCTGCATCAATCTTCCTAGCTTTTAGATATCTTAAACTCAAAACAGAACTAATTATCTCTCCCCAAACCCTCGACATGTCCCTATTACTATCAAGAACACCACCATTCTTCCAGTAACCCAGACTCACAATCTTGATATTACACAGAGTCACTCCATATATACAATTCGCTACTGACTCCCGCCATAAAATAATGAAAAGAACAAAACCAATCAGAAAAACCCAAAAATCCACCATCAGAAAGGGAAGTTAAACAAGCTATAAATAAACTTACAAAGAAAAATCTAGTCAATTAAATGAATTTACAATTATAAACTATTAATATTTAGAGAACGATTAATTTCTATGCTATGCTACATAAGTTGTTCTGATTGTACCAAAGTTATCTTGTAAGACAATTATGATCCTGATACATAAACCAAGATAAAACAGAGAAAAAAGACATAGGTCAATATTACAATGAATACTTGACGCAATACGTTACAATGAAATTTATTAAAGACTGTAGCAATATGTACAAAAACTATTCATTATATCCAAGTCGGAATATTACTAGGTATGTAAGGATGATTCAACATTAGAAAAATTATTTTAATAATTAGTCAAATAGAAAAGGAAAAAAGTCACATGATGTACAGATAAAAAAATTCAACAGCACAAAGCAATTATTTACATTTTTATTTGTCTAGACTTGTCTTTTCATCTGCAAAGGGGACTTTGAGTTAACAAATCCTCTCTACTAATGCATACTGTCAACTGTCCTGCAGTCTGTATCCCAGAGTTCCCTGGGATACAGAGTATTTAATTGACTTGTCCATGGTCACAATGCCATCGCTACCCTCATATATATTGTTTATCTAGGAGATAAACTATGATGTACTTTAAGTACAAAATTGGTATTTTAATATACTTTTATTTTCTTTATATTTTTGGTTTTTCTATCACCTTTATTTCCAAATATATCTCTCCCCTTCTTCAATCCAGCAAGCTATTCTTTGAAACAAAGAAGGAAAGAGATAAAGGGAAGTTTGGCAAAACCAAGTAAGAGATCAGAGACGTGAGGAAGTAGATGCCAATATCTATACCCATAGTACCTCCCAATCCTCAAATGAACAGGGAGTTACATTTTCTCAACTCTTCTTTGAGGCTGAACTCTAGTCGTTATAATTATACAGTGGTCAGGAGTTTAGTGGCTTTCTTTTTTTTGTTCTTTCCATTCATATTTTTGCAGTAATTGTGCATATTGTTTTCCTGGTTCTGCTTACTGAAGTATACATCATTATATAAGTTTTGTTATGTGACTGAATTATTCATAGGTGTCATTCCTTAAGGCATACAGTAATATTCCATTATATTCATATATGAACATTTGTTTAGCTATTCCCCAATTAATGAGTATCAACCTTGTTTTAAATTCTTTATTACCACAAAGAGTACTGCTATTAATATTTTGATGTACATGGAACCTTTCTGTCTTTCACTTCCCTGGAATATATGTCTAGTGGAATCTGGGGGTCAAGCAGTCTGGATATTTTTGCCACTTATTTAAGGAAGATTACAATCATTTTCCTAACACTTGAGCCAATTATCAGCTCTAATAACAATGTATGAGTGTGCCAGTCTGTCCCACTACTCCTCTAACACTATTTCCATCTTCTGTCACCTTGACTAACTTGCTGGATGTGAGGGGAAACCTCAAAATCGCACTGACTTGAATCTTTCCTATGGTTGTTAACGGTTTACAATTCTCTTGAGAATCAATCTGCCAACCAACAAACATATTAGTCACTAATATGCACCAGGGATTATAGGGGACACAGAGAGTACAAAGATACAAAAATGAAACAGTACTTGCCCTCAAGTCTAACTATGGGAAATGTACAAATATAGGTATATATTTAGATTCCTGATTGTTCCTTTGGAGCATACTCTGAACCTGTTAATGACAGAAAGAGAGAGAGAGAGAGAGAGAGAGAGAGAGACAGATGTGGAGACAGAGATTTATATGCAATGTTTCTGTCTTTGACCTCCTTAGAGAATATATTTATACTATTTGTATAGTATGGGTGTAATTTTTCCCCTTCCAAATGCATGGACCCTCCTGAAATTTATCCATGCATCCCAGGTTAAGGATCCCTGGCCAAAGCTTAATTTCTGCCCAACAACTCTACAGGTTTCACAGCATTCTTTTCAAAAATAGTTCTTCCCCAAATAATTATATTCTCAGGTTTAGTGAACAATAGGTTATTGAATATTTTTTTCTGATTCTTTTTCATGCAGTCTATTCCACTGATCTACTTTTCTACTTCTAACCAGTATCAGAGTTTTGGTGATTAGAGATCTAAATTTGAACTCTAAAATTGTTATTTCCCCTCTATTTCTATTTTTTCTCCATTATTTGCCTTTGAGAGTCTAGATCTTTGTTACTCCACACGAATGCTGCTATTATTTTGTCTAATTCTCACTCGGGAGTCTGGCAAACCATTAACTATGTAAATTAATTGAGTCAGTGTTATCATTTTTATCTGCAACCAAACCAATAGCAATGCAAAGAGTATAGCACATATTCTAAAAAAGATATAATACCCTCAATACATAAAGGCAGATCCTTTTTTTTTTTTTGAGGCAATCAGGGTTAAGTGACTTGCCGACGGTCACACAGCTAGTAAGTGTCTAAGGCCAAATTTGAATTCTTGTCCTCCTGACTCCAAGGCTGATGCTCTACTCACTGTACCACCTAGCTGTCCCATAAACGCAGATTCCTCAGTCAATTTTTACAGAGATTCAAGTGGAAGTATACAAGGTGATTTGCACTTTATATAATTTCCTCCACTCCCCCAAAATATTTACCTTCATTTTGCCACTGTATTTTGGATCAGAAATAGTTTCAAAGGCTGCATCTTTACTCTTCTGCATGAAATCTTTGAATTTGGAAAAAACTTGATAGCATATTCTTTCAAGATGCATTTCCTAAAGAAAATAGAGGAAGTGGAAGGAAGGATGAGTATAAAAGAATTTTATTTAAGACATTAACTAGTATGAACTAAATTTGGAACATGAAACTGTCTTCTGATGGTAGACTTTGTCAGTTCAAAGTAATGTTTGACTTCACACATATTGCTGTTTGCAATTTGACCACTAGCTCATTACATATTAGAGTGAAAAAAAGTTTCACTGCACTTCACATAAATTATTATATAATCAATGATTCCTAGAATTCTTCAGGTTTTCAATATCAAGTATAATAATACCAAATGCAAACCAACATAATGTTAAATTTTATCAGAATAGAAAAAAGTACAAAAAGAGAACCATTAACTAGACCAATAAAAGTAGAATCCTATACCTGGAAGAGATATTAAAGAACACATCTTCTACTCTCTTAAATTTACAGATGAAAAAATGTAAGCTCAGAATGGTCAGCTGACCAGATTCATACAGCCTATTAGTGACAGACTAGAAATCAGAACAGGGTTTCTTAACCTGTCGTTTACAAACTTGCTTTTAAAAAATATTTTGATAATTATATTACATGTAAAGTAAACTATTTTCAGAAAATGTCCATAGGCTTCACCAGACTGCCAAAGGAGTCTTCAACACACAAAATGTTAAGAACCTGGATTAGATTTAGGTACTTGGGCACCCTGACTTCTTCATCTTGATTTTCCCCTTCTATCTGCTAAAACCAAATACATTTAAACACCATGATCCTGTGATCCTAATACTTAATAACTAATACCTAGTTTGGATAACTCAAAAGGAAAAAATATTACTATTTAAGGCTTATCCTTTACTCCTGTTGTATTAATATGTATCCATTACACACACATGATAAAGGACATGAAAAATTACAGAATTAGCCTAAATTTTGGATTTACTAGTTTTTGTTAATTTATGAAATAGTCCTCTTGCCATTCAAATGCACAGACTATTAGAATTAAATGTCTTTATCCTGGGTAAATAGATCATGACATAGTTAAGCAAATAATTAAATAACATTAAATATGTACATATGCAAATATATATATACATACACATATATACGCACACATATAGCTGAGTGTGTATATATGCATAAGTATATACACACAAATTAGAGGCTACTTCACTTTGAATTATAGTAGTTCATACCACTTTTACATAAATTATCTATTAAATTCTCTTGACTTTAAATTATTTTCCAACTATATGAACTCTAACCATCTGAATTCTTTTCAATAATTCAAATATGGGCAAATCAATTTTTACCTAAATGTAATACATATAAAGTAAAGTACCTGAATGACATATTATTATAACAAATTTAGCCTAAAATTACACAGAAAATCCAAGAGACGAACCTGCTGTTTACTAGTGTTGCTACTGGCTTGTAGCAGTGCAGCATGATTAGATACCTTCTGCAGGATTGCAAGATAACTGAAATAGAGGGCTTTCACTGTTTCACCATGTGAATTGGTCTAGAACAATTGAAAGAAAAAGAAAAAAATGGAATGTATTATCAAAGATCTAAAACCACTGAGATTCCAGAACACATGCATTGCTTTCAATATTTGCTTCCTTTCCGTTATTTTGGGTAAAATGAGTTCAAGTCAACTTGACTCACAAACATTTATTAAACACAGTATAGTAGGTGGGAAGCTCAGGGCTAGAAGATAAAGATACAAAGACTAAACTGAAATGTGCCCAGTTTTTAAAAGTTAATATTATAAATGGGACAGGTAAATAAATGTATGGTAATCTGAAGAAAGAACATTTATCTTTGAGAGGAGAGGAGGAAGGGTCACAGAAAACTTCAGAAGCAGCAAATGGTGGCTAAGGTAAGCCTTAACTTCTCAAAAAAGAATAGATTGTTGGTTTAACCAGAAAGATTAAAGGGCATATTGTCTTATTTCTTTAATGTAGATTTATACTCTGCATTTCCATCAAAGAATGTTGCATTGGGTTTTTTTAAAGAAAAATACAAAATACAGTTTTGCATTATAGAAGAGTATAAATGGTAACAAACTGGGTTAAGTATTTTTATAGTCAGAGTATCAAAGGCAACAAAACAAACAGGTCAATTATGATAGCTGCACATGATAGTATTTCACAGAAACCTCTGCTGGAAGAGAAATGGAAAAATTGGAATACTAATGCATTAAATTCATTCAACCATTCTAGAAAACAATTTGAAACTATGCCCAAAGGGCTATAAAACCACGTATACCCTTTGACCTAAACTACCACTACTAGGTCTGTATCCCAAAGAGATTAAAAAAAGGGAAAAGGATCTCTTATGTACAAAAATATTTAGAGCAGCTCTTTTTTTTTTTTGGTGGCAAAGAAATGGAAATTGAGGGGATGCTCATCAACTGGGGAATGAATGGCTGAACAAGTTGTAGTAAATGACTGTGATGGAGCACTATTGTGCTGCAAGAAATCACAAACAGGATGCTTTCAGAAAAACCTAGAAAGACTTTATGAACTGATGCAAAGTGAAGCAAGCAAAACCAGGAGAACATTGTACATAGTAACAGCAATACTGTACAATGATCAACTGTGAATGACTTAGCTATTCTCAGCAGTACAATGATCCAAGGCAATTCCAAAGGACTTATGATAAAAAATGCTATCTACCTCCAAAGAACTGATAGAATCTGAATGCAGATCAAAGAATATTTTTTTTTTACTTTTTAAATTTTTCTTGGGTTTTGGGGGCTGTTTTTTGGTCTGCTTTTTTTTTCTGCACAACATGTCTAATATGGAAACGTTTTTCATTACTGCACATGTATAACCTATATCAAATTACTTGGAATTCAAAATTTTAAAAACAAATGCTAAAATTATTTTAAATTTAATTGGAATATATATACACACATATGTGTGTGTGTGTGTGTGTGTGTGTGCATGTGTGTGTGTGTGTGAGTGTGTTTGTGTATGTGTATTTTTTTTTAAGTCCAGGTGATCAGGAGCACGCTGGCACCATCCCTTCAGGTTTGGTCAGGAAGACAAGTTGCTATTAGGATCTATTAGGTTTGAAGATTTAGAAAATATATGGGGGGGTGGCTAGGTGGCACAGCGGATAGAGCACCGGCCCTGAAGTCAAGAGGACTTGAGTTCAAATCCGGCCTCAGACCAAACACTTGACACTTAACTAGCTGTGCGACCCTGGGCAAGTCACTTAACCCCAATTTCCTAAACAAAAAAAATCTGGGTATGAATGTTGAGTAGGCAGTCTGAAATATAAGACTAGTAGTCAATTAAGGTACTTGAAGAAATTCTTCATAAATTTTTCTAATATAAATATATTTAGTAACAATCATTAGTCGAACACTTAATAATTCTCTCTCATTCCCTTATTCCTGAGACTTCACAAATGATTTGTAGAAGGAAGAGATGATGTAATTCCATTACTTATTTGTTACCTAAAGGTAGGAGACAACACTACAGTTGAAAGCAAGATATAAAAACAAAATGCTAAAATGCATACTTTGTAACAACAATTTTTTCTCTTACGGCCACTGTTGCAGGTACAGGGTTCTCGAGCTCTAAGTATCAAGGTTACATCTTCTGTCTCTAATACAGTTTGATAAACAGCCTTCTGGAACTCTGTCAGAGAACAGTAAACCATCTGCCAAGATAAAAAGCCACGCAACTATTAGTATCTACTTTAATAGGCATAATAACCACAATGTAGGTCATATTAACCAAATGTTCTTACTCAAGTAACCCACAAACTAATTTTCCTTCCTATACTTACACCACTATAAAAACTTATTTCAATTTTCTGAGACATTCCTTTCTTCTTTAAGTTGTGTGTGAATTTGAATTACAGTACCTATTGCATTTTAAGATGCCAATCTCAAGAGTTGCATGTTTTAAAATTTTGGTTTTGGTTTTGTTTTTAATGTAAAAGACCAATTAAATTAAGAAAGGACACAGTTGGGGCAGTTAGGTGGTGCAGTGGATAGAGCACCAGCCCTGAAGTCAGGAGGACCTGAGTTCAAATCCGGCCTCAGACCAAACACTTCACACTTACTAGCTGTGTGACCCTGGGCAAGTCACTTAACCCCAATTGCCTAAAAAAAAAAAAAAGGACACAGTCATGTCACAAATACGTATTGACATTTTCTAGGTTCTTTGTTCCCCTACTTCACTAATAATTAATATTAAGCCTAAAGAGAAATCTTTAGTACTGCCTTTGGGTTTCACCAAATAATTAACAGATAATTCAATTCTTTTTTTACATTAATCCTATTTTGAGCTATATATATATATGTATATATTTGTGTGTGTGTGTATATAGATAGATAGATATAGATATACATATCTATATCTATATCTATATCTATATATTTTTTTAACAGACTGAATAGTGGGTATCCCGGCATTGTAACAGAAAGGTAAAACTATTTTTTCTCCTGGAGAAAAAAAAAATTAAAATATTACCATGAGTTTCCTAACAGACCATGAGCTTCTTGAGAGTAGGGGCTGACTATTGCCTTTCTTAGTATTCCCAGACCTTACTTAGCACAGTGCCTCAAATAGAGCAGGTCCTTAATAAATATCTATTAACTGATTGGTTTACTGACTAGCTGGCTTGCCAATTCACAATATCTTTTCCCCTCCTTCATTTCTAACTTCTTTCATACAGTCTCCAAAGCAAAAGAGGCATCTGTCCTCATTCTGACTTTACCTTATGGACCCACAACGTGATACAGTGGAAAGAGTACTGGCTCAGAATACAGAGGACCTAGGTTCAAATTCTGATATTTACTACCTATGTGTCTTTGGGCAAGTCCCTAAACATCCTTAAGCCTCTGTTTCCTCAACTGTAAAATGAGCAGATTAAACTAGATGGCTTCTGAAGTCCCTTCAAACTCCAGATCTATGATCCAAAAAGTGACAGGGAGGAGTTAATGCTCACTAGACTAAGAAGATAAGAGTGTCAATAGTTATACAACAGGTAAAACTTGTCACACTTATTGTCTTCTCAAGGTAAATACTCTAAGATTTATTTGAATATAATTCTTTCCCCCTATCCATTGTCACATATTTAAGAGAAGAAAATAATAATTCAAAATCATTTTTAAAATTAGGCTACTTATATTAGCAACTAAATAGCATCCAAATGAAATACAGTAACAACCCTGGATTTAATGCGATTCTCACACCAGCTGAAGAATGATCCTCAAACTCTGGGTCTCAATTCCTAAATACTTGAAGACCTAGAAAATTTAAATAAAGCAAAGTTTAAAATGAAAAATCCACAGTTCTCACTCTGTCTTCCTTCTTAGGCAACTGATCCCTGATCAGAGTCTTGGTACGCCTCAGAAACCAGCCAGACAGCTTTCTTGCTAGTCTCTGCATAGCCTTTCGGCCAGTAGCTAGCTCTCTTTTGGTCGCAGTATGTCTTTGTCCATGCTCCACTGGGTCAGAAAACTGCTTCTTGAAGTTAGTCATGCTACCTAAAAGTCCTGGCACAGCCCTAAAAGCAATAACAAAACATTAAATATTTGTTAAATAATCTCCAAAAAAAAATCAGCATCCAGTTTTAAAAGTAGATGAGGTCACACAGTAGATAAACATCAGTGGCAGGGCCTTGAATTCAGAGCTTCCTGATTTTTCAGTAAGTCCATACCACCCTTCCAGTATGCTATAAAGAGAATAAAAAACCACACAAAAATGTGTTTTTACTCACCAGTCCATAACACACCAAAGTTCCTTCATGTTGTTTTGAAGAATAGTACCAGTAAGACCTATACGAACACTACATTTTAAAGCTTTCATAACTTCTGTAACTCGAGCCTTTGGATTCTTGATTCTATGGGCTTCATCCACAATGACAGCAGACCATTCTATACTGTAAATTTTTTTAAAAAAAGTTGTTTTAAGTAAAAGTTCCCTTTCCACTTTCTCCTCTTATCCCATTTATAAAGAATTTATAGCTTATCTGTTCTTCCCTTCCATGTTATTTGATTTTCTCCCTCTCCACTCTTTGGTAATCATACTAGAGGGGTGTGTGTGTGTGTGTGTGTGTGTGTGTGTGTGTAAATCTTACATAGGTAAATGATTACAATTAATAGGCCACAAAATTAAAGTTTAAATACCTAAAGAGCCAATGAAGATTAGAGATGATATAGTTAGCTACTGGATTATTCTAGTATGGAAATATTTCCCAGTAATGCAGTTTAGCAACATGTCTATAATATATCATGGAATACTTAAAGCAAGCTTTCAATTCATTTCAATTAAACATTTATTAAACACTTTATATAAAAAGCACTAGGCTAAACACTAAGGAAGTTATAAAATTTAAATAAGAAAAAAAAATCCTATGCTCGTGGAACTTATATTCTAGCAGGTACAAGAAACTTATAAAGATAATAATAACAAATGGTAAGTGCATTGGAGGAGTGCAAAACAAATCATATGACCAAAGTTTGTTCCTAAAGGGTAGCAAACAGCAGGAAAAGTTTTATGAGGAAGGTAGCATTTAAACTGGGTTTTAAAAGATGGATATATAAAGGAGAAAGGCAGCATTCCAGTCACAGGAAGTAGTGTAAGAAAAGCCTCAGAGACAAGGAGACAGAGCATATGTCTAGGAAACAGAGTACTATACTGTACATTGGGCATAGTGTGTATGGAAGAAAGTAATGTGAGAAAAGGTTAAAAATGTAGTGGTGCCAGATTGCAGAAAGCCCTAAATACCAAGGTAAAGAGTTTGAATTTTATTAAGTAGACAATAAAAAACCACTGAAGATTATTGAGCAACAGAATCACACTGAGCAGAGCTATGTGTAAGGAAGATTAGTCTCATAAAAACATGAAACCTGTCTTAGAGTAGAAGAAAGAGCAGAGGAAGAAGCCTGCAATAATTCAGGTGGGTAGGTAGTAAAATGGGATTGTGCTTAGGTGATGGCAATGGGAGTAAAGAGTAGGAATATAAGACAGAGTTGATAGAATGTGGTAAATGAATATGAGAGGAGATAACTCCAAATTTTTAAACATGGAAGACATACTGAATATGGAAGCACTGACAAAAACAGTGAACTCAGAGCCATCATCCATCTCATAGGCAATTTTAACATAAGCAATCTAAATAGTTAATTCTGAAATCATCTTCAAACACGCTGAATAATATCAAGAGTTTAAAACAGATTCTAAAACAAGGAAAGAAAACTTATTAAAAGAAACACAGAAAATGTGAGTTTTTAACAAATGTTCTTACTACCTGTTCAGCTCATCTAAGCACAAGCGAAGGGTCTCATAAGTTGTTAGAGCAATTTCACATTTTCCCTGCTTGACTCGAATCAGCTCATTATCTTTTTTATTACCATGCAAAATAGTGATTCTGAAATATCCCCAAGTGTTCAATTCATCTCTCCAATTATAGAGTACAGAAAGAGGGGCCACTATCAGAAACATCTGAAAGAAGATGAGACATCATTACATCTTAAAAGAAAACTAGCTTCAACATATAATACAACATCTCAACAATTCAGTTCCTGTATGTGTACACGGTACTAAGCATAGTAGTACTCTCAGCAAATATCCAATATAATTGATTGTCTAGTGAGAAGGCAAAAGTCTCAGAAGATAAAATTTTTAGAACTTTTACATCAAACAATCAGAAGTTATTCAGTACAAGGATTAATGTTTCAGAGGTATAGAAAAATCCATAATTTACACGTCTTAATTATACTTTCCACTAGAGAATATCAATTATTTTAAATACTTTTTTATTTATCTTTTTACATCATTGTGATTTCACAAAACTTCCCAACGAGAAGGAAAAGGTTAAACAAACAAAAATGTGTGTGTGTGTATACATATATATGTACACACACACACACACGCATACATATATGTGTGTGTATATATACATATATATGTACACACACACACATATATGTGTGTGTGTGCTTCTGTATATGTACACACACACATACACATATAGCTCCATCAGCCATGTCTTCCAGAGTTGACACCAATCCCTATCTACTAACTGTGTGATTCTAGAGGGTTCATTAATCCCTATATGCTTAAAGCAAGTTCCTGGGAGTTCTTTATTAAGTCACAGTCTTGCCTACATAGGTGAAAGAAGTTCCAAAGCCAGTTCACCATACTGATAAAATCAGAGGTTTTTCATCCTTTGCATATTTATTAGTAATGTTTCTCTATAGTTTTATTTTTCTGTTCTCTCTGGTGTGTGTGTGAATAACATGACCACAGTAAGCAGTGTGGTGTACTGGGCAAAACAATGGTCTCATACCACTGTACTTAAGTCACGAAGACCCAAGTTCAAATCCTGTCTCAGAAACTCTCTGTATGACCCTGGTTAAGTCATACAGCCTCTCTGCCTCAGTTTCCACATCTACAAAATGGGAAAAACATGATCCATCATATAAGGTGACTGAAAAGGCCATGAGATATTGCATACAAAACATTCTTCAAACCTTAAAGCGCTGTATAAATATCCGTTATTACTACTGTCTCAGAAAAAGTATAGTTTATTTTTGTGAACAGTTAATATAGCATAAACTCATTGTTCTTTAAATGGTTGGCAGAATTCACTTATAAATTAATTTGGTCCAAGAGGTTTTTTTTCCCCTTTATGGAATGCTTAATCTCTCTAGGATCAGATAGTTTAGATCCTATTATTTAGTGTTAATCTGGGCACTTTATATTGTAAACATTCAGCCTTTTCATTTAAGTTTGCAATTTTCTTGCTAATGATTGAGTATAATAATTTCTGATAATTTTAAAATCCAATTTTATTTTGAGTTTCTAATTCTCTCCTTCCTCTCTTCCCCACCCACTGTGAAGTCTTTAAGAAAAACAAAACCCAATGTAAACATGTATAATCATGCAAAATTCCCACATTAGCCATGTCCAGAAAGAAAGGAAGGAAGGGAGAGAAGGAGAAAGAAAATGCTTCAGTCTGTATTATGAGTCCATCAACTCTCTAACTGAAAGTGAATGATGGCATATTTCATCATGAGTCCTTTCGAATTGTGGTAGATCATTGTATTGACCTGGGCTACTAAGTCTTTCACAGTTAATTAGCTTTACAATATTGTTGTTATTATATAAATTGTTCTGGTTTTGCTCACTTCACTTTGCATTAGTTCATATTAGTCCAGGCTTTTCTTAACCCATCCTCTTCATTATTTCTTACAGCACAATAGTATATTAGAAATCATATATAATTATTGTTCAGCCATTCTCCAATTGATGGACATCCTCTCAATTTCTAATACTTTCCCACCACAAAAAGAGCTGCTACAAATATCTTTGTATACATGTATCCTTTCACTCTTTCTTTGATTTCTTTGTGGTATAGACTTATATTGGGGCAGATAGGTGGTGCACTGGATAGAGCACCAAGCCTGGAGTTAGGAAGACTTGAGCTAAAATCTCACTTCAGACACTTACTAGCTATGTGACCCAGAGCAAGTCACTTAATCCTGTTTACCTCAGTTTCCTCATCTGTAAAATGAGTTGGAGAAGGAAATGGCAGACAACTCTAATATCTTTGCCAACAAAATCCCAAATGAAGTCACAAAAAGTCAGACACAACTAAAACAACTGAACAACAACAACAACAATAGACACATTATGGTATAAACTTTATAGGCTTCTGTATTATATGGACTTCCTGAGTCAAACAGTATGCACAACCTAACAGTTTTTTGGGATGCTTTCCAACATGACTGGATTAGTTTACAGATCCACAAATAGTGTATTAGTATACCTGTCTTCCCATAGCTGCTCCAGCACTTGTCATTGTCTTTTCTTGTCATTTTAGGCAATCTGATGGGTGTGAGGCAAAACCTCAGAGTTGTTTTAATTTACACTTCTCTGTTAGTGATTTAGAGCATTTTTTAAAATGTTTATGGAAAGCCTGGATTTCCTTTGACCATTGTTTGTGCACAACTTCTTAATTTTATGTAATCAAAATTATTTATCTTATCTCCTGTGAACGTATCTATCTCGTTTGGTCATGAACTCTCCTCCTAGTCATAGATCTAACAAGTAATTTCTTTTATGATCCACTAATTCACTTATGATTTCCTTACATCTAAGTCATGTACCTATTTTGAGCTTAGCTTGGTATACAATGTGAGATGATGGTCAGTACCTAGTTTCTGTCAAACTACTTTCCAGGTTCCTCAACAGTATTTGTTGAACAGTGAATTTTTGTTCCCACAGATGGGATCTTTGGGTGCACAAAGTCAGCCACTGGTGCAGTTAGCCTGAGTGACCCCATGTTTTAACCTTGCTTAACCTCTGGGTATGTGGGGAATCAGCCTAAAGGAGAAGGTGGTCTCCTTAGTGTTAATCCCTTCTCTTTAACACTAATCCCATCTCCCACTGAATAGGAGAGGAGATGAAGCTAATCCCATTCCCTCACTGAAATCTATGTTAATTAGGATTGTCTGGCAGACAGCAGGAATCTAATAAATGCTTATTGATGGACTGACTGAATAAATAACTGAACATCAGCAAGAGGGCTGCTTCCAGAGCTCTCAGCCCACAGACAGTAAGGGGGATAAACAACTGCTCAGAAGGAAATTTACAGGGATCTTTTTGCTAGCACTGAGGTAGGACTCTATTGCTTTGCCCATATTCAGATGTGGGTCAGTCCCAGAGTGAGGAGGAGCATTAGCATAGTAGAGCTTGTGGCCCCAGTGGAGGGGGTACCATCCTCACAGTTCCAAGGCAGAAAAGAATACTTGTGATCTCTCACAGACCAGAGCACAGGCCAGAAGAGTAGTAACACCTCTTCTTCAACCATATACCTTGCAAGAACTGAAAACTTACAGGTCCCTAGAAGCATCTATAAAAACAAGCTGCACAAAACCCCTGAAGCTTGGGACAGTGCATCCTCCACCCTGCTTTAACAAACACTTAAAAGTCAGATACTAGGATGGGAAAATGAGCAAACAATGGGAAAAAAACCTGACCATAGAAAGTTATTATGATGACAAGGAAGATCAAAACACAATCAGAAGACGACAACAAAATCAAAGCTCTTACATCCAAATCCATCAAGAAAAATATGAATTGGTCTCAGGCCACGGAAGAGATCAAAAAGGATTTTGAAAATCAAGAAGAGAGGTAGAAGAAAAATCAGGAAAATAAATGAAAGTGATGCAAAAAAATCATGGAAAAAGTCAAGAACTTGGTACAGGAGACACAAAAAAATACTGAATAAAATAATACCTTAAAAAACAGACTAGGTCAAATGGCAAAAGAGGTTCAAAAAGCCATAGAGGAGAAGACTGACTTAAAAAGCAGAAGTGGAGTGGATAGAGCACCGGCCCTGGAGTCAATTGCCTTGCCAAAAACAAACAAAAAAACAAAAAAAGCAGAATTGACCAAATGGAAAAGGAGGTACAAAAGCTCACTGAAGAAAATAATTCCTTAAAAATTAGAATGAAGTAAATGGAAGCTAATGACTTTATGAGAAATCAAGAAACAATAAAATAAAAACAAAAGAATGAAAACAATAGAAGACAATGTGAAATATCTCAGTTGAAAAACAACTGAACTGGAAAATAGATCCAGGAGAGATAATTTAAAAATAATTAGACTATCTGAAAGCCACAATCAAAAAAAGATCCTAGATATCACCTTGAAAGAAAATATCTAGGAAAACTGCCTTGATATTCTAGAATCAGAGGGTAAAACAGAAATTGAAAGAACCCACTGATTAGCTCATGAAAGAGATCCCAAAACAAAATCTGCCAGGAATACTACAGCCAAATTCCAGAGTTCCTAGGTCAAGGAGAAAATATTGCAAGCAGCCAGAAAGAAACAATTCAAGTGAATAGCTAACAAACTATGAATATGAATATGATATAATTATACAATAAAAAATAATGAAAGTGAAAAGTATGTGTATAAACTGATACAGTGAAGTAAACTAAATCAAAAAACTATACATACATATAATGATACAAATGAAAAGAAAACTAAGAGAAGCCAAACTCTGAATAACCACAATGAACAATCTTGGTCCCAAAGAACAGATAATGAACTTACCTCCTATTGACAGAGTGGAATAATTTAGTATAACAGATAAAGAAGTCAGGAAATTTTCAGAAGGACACGTGAAGATTATTTGGTGTTATTAACAGAAAACTGAGCTACATGATGGGCCCAGTCAATATCATTTCTTCCTATGCCTTTGTCCATCTCAACCTTTAAGTTATACTCTTCTGTTAAAATAAAAATAAATTCTTATACTATCACATGTAGTCCTTATATCAGTGATTTCTTAACTTTTCTTCTTTGTTACAAGGGAAGGTTCAATAGGGAATGTGGTAAGTAACAGATATATCCAGAAAAGACTATGATGTAAAAACAAAAGGGATCAATAAGTTATTTTTGAAAAATAAAAATGAAAATAGAGGAAACTA